TGATTTGCAATCATTTTTGCCACGAATCCACGAAAAATTAGAATAAAATTAGAAATAAATGCTATAAAATAAAATATGTAAAAGTAAATTAAATTAAAGAATTGAAAAAATAGAAAGACAAAATAAAATATAAAGTAAATGCAATAAGGTATAAAGATTTATTTAAAAAAAGCGATATTAAAAAAAATTAAATAAAAGAGTTAAGAGAGAGACTTCATTTTTATTTTATATATATATATATATAGTTAATAAAATAAATTGAAAAGATAAAGAAAAATAAAATAATATTAGAGTTGATGTAAAGATTTTTTTCATGGACGAAATCACTCTGCCGAGGGACGTTTGCATTCACTGTTTTTATATTTTTGAATGTTATTCTACCCAGAATGTTTTCCTTACTACTCTACATAGTGTCTCGGTAGTCTGTTACAGTATAGCGTTCGCTTTATTTAAAAAAAATAACAGTATAACGTTCTACCTTTGTTCGCATACATACATACATATATACAAAACATACAATGCAAACATTCCGTTAAATGATTGTCGATATTAGTAATAATGGCTTACTTTTTTACCACCACCTTTACCGTTCACAGCTACTTTTTGAATGATCTGAATGTGTGTGCAGATATCTGATGATGTAAGCCCGTCCACGCCACTTTAAAGTAGCATTTTAAATTCTACGCGTGCAAATCAAAGGATTCGTGCAATTCACAATCATATCAGAGGTCGTTTGCAATAGTTATAAAATCACTTGCCCACACACTCTCTGCGCCAAGCTTCCATTGAATAAACGCACCTTTCAATTGCTCTAATGATAACCATCTGGCATGTGAGTAAGTGAGTATTACGAGTATGTATAAGGAATTCATTTGGGAAATCGTGTTAAATTTCGCATTTATTTCGCCAATTTCACACTCTTTTGAGAAAATAATCTTTTCAGCAATGTGCGAGTCAAACTAAATGAGGGTGTGGTGCGATGGTGTGACTGCTTGGTCATTTAAAGGGGTTAAATTGCAAACGGATATTGCAATCGCTTCTTTTTTTTCATATTTTAAACTGTAAAATACTTTTTATACTCTTTTGGTCTTTGTATTTTAATGCGCCAAAAGTAGGAGGAGAGCGTACAAGTTGATAAAAAGCTGTATACTTTTCTATTTAAAGGAGAGATAAATACAATTGCATACTTTCAGGCGTTTCATGGACTATTAAATAGAGCTGTTTTATCTGGCCATTAAACCACTATTCTACGAGATTGTTTGTTGATGGCAAATTTAAATTCAAATTTAAATTTAAACAGTCTTAAACTGTTTTTCCAATAATTCATAAGAAATAACAATTAAATTATTTAATCGGAACAATAAATTATTTATTATTTTATAAACTTTTAACGACCTTCAAAAAGTATAAATACTATGGTTTCAAATTTATATATGGATATATATATATGTTTAGCGCTTTAGTAACCGCTAAAGCGACTTTCGGCCGAACTCCTTTTTCAATTTGTGGTGTACGTCTAGAAGTTTTTCCAACAAATGGAGTGACCAACAGTTTATACAGAGTCGCCCTTGAAAGGCTGATGGTCTTTTATGTAAAGCCTTTTATTTCATGCCACAAATACACTCGGAGGGTTTGACATTCCCGGGCGAGGGACGACCGTAATCAGAAAAATTGACTAAAAATTGTAATTAAATTAATTTTCTATAACTTTTGGATGTCGGTCGAACCAGGACTCGAAACATGGCCTTCGATGGCAGTACGCAATGCCAACCACTCGGCTACCAAATTAATTTGACCGTCATTCATAACAGGCATAACGGCTACAGTATAGCTGAAGAGAGACAGCTTCTTTCTCGCTTTCCACTTGGAATATAATAAAAATTTACGATACGAAATACTCAAATTTCAGCTAAGACGCAGCCATCATCAACAGCTGCGCTAACCTATAAATATGCCGCTCTGGCAATGGTAGTGAGTGTAATTAGAAAAAGTAAAAACAATAATTAAAAAAAATTCGAAATGCCGGTTCGATAACTTTATAACGTTACGTTTCTTTTTTAATTTTGTCTGGGTGAATGTCTCTGCTTAAAGTCTTCCAAAAACGAACACTCATTGCCGTCAGCAGTCGCCAATGGACTCAAAGTATGTGCAAAACTTTTTATCTCGCACGTAATTTTCACTAATTTACTGTCACCACCAAGCGCCGTGCATACCAAATACAAATGTTTACCACGACCGTGTTGAGAATGATGCTATGGTGGACTCCTTCCTCGTCCCGCCGTGTTCAATGTATTCTTATTTGTCGGATCACAAGTTATGAAACTAGAAACTGTTGCAAAAACTTTTTGAGGGCGACTTTATTGCATTTATTTAATAATTGTTTGCTCTTTCTTTATTTAGATGTAAATGGCTAATTTTTATATACATACGTGTCGACATAAGTATGTACAATACATGTGTATATACGAGGAGTGACAATTAAGTAATGGGACTGATTCCATAACTCTGCACAACTCTGCAATCCATTTCTAAGGAGTCCCTTTGGCTAGTTATACAACGATTCCGGCAAGTTTTCCACACATCGTAATATATCTAGAACACTTCGACTGGGTAGTCCGCGAGTACCCTCGTCACGGCCACCTGGATGTCCACAATCGACTCAAAATGGGTTCGTTGATCACCAATTTCGTTCTAGAGAACAAAAAAAGTCACAGGATGACATATCGAGCGAATAAGGCGGTCCCTTTCGAGGACAAATACTGGGACACGTTGAGGTCGGTGTGGAACGGCGCGTTGTCGTTATGAGCAATGTCTGGGCGCACTCTGTTTAATTCTTTTTCGCAATCTTTCGAGTACTTGACTATAATAGACTTGATTTATGTTTTGCACCAGTGGAAGAAATTCTTTGTGGACGATTTTGCACCTCGACTGGTATCCCGCTCCGCGCCACCTTAAACTTTTTATGCCATCGAAACACCTGGGTACGACTAAAAGCACTATCACCATGCACTTTTACAATTTTGGCGTACGTTTCCGAAGCTGTTTCGCCCAATTTCTTGCAAACTTTTATCGCGACCCGTTGCTCTTGAATTTGTTTTTCCACTTCATGATGACCATCACGAACAGACGTTTACTCAACACGACACAGCTGGCCAACTGAGGAAGCTATAGCGATGGCAAATATCTCAATGCCATTCAGAAGGACAGGGTTTGAGTCCAGGTTCGACCCAAAACCAAATGTTAAAAAAAATTAATTTAGGTACAAAATTTAAGTCGTTTTTTTCTTATTGCGGACGCCTCAGCAGGGCGTGAAACGATAGAAATTTTTTGATAAACGTGAGATTTATGGTGTCCTTGCACCCTTGCAGCCTTGGTTTATTCACACAGTATACTCTGCTTCACTTTACCCCTATTTACATATGTATATTGTTAATACCGAGCTCAAAACTGAACTAAACATGCCAGCAGTTTGCTTTATATAGCTACAGTTTGCTCGTATGTTTCTTCTAGAAGATATTGGAGACGAGTTTGCTATAAACCAACTCAGAATAAGTGATAATGGGTAAGATTAATTGACGCATAAGCTTTTGTTTAGGACTAGGATAAATGGTGTAGACTACCTTAAATTTTTTAGTGTACCACATACTTTGTCGACGACGGAGTCACTGTGATCGACTTAGACGAGACAAGAGTTAGCTTAGATAGATAATTTTTTCGAACCCTTTCCGAGGCAAATAGATGGTATGTAGCTAAAATTGATTTTCTTACTGTAAGCAGATAGGGATACGAGGGGTTAAGGCAAAGACCATTATGAGTGCCCCCGTTATTCAGAAGATGGACCTTTATCTATATCGGCAAAATAAACTATTGGAAAACTCAATCCGTCTCTGCCTGATAAATAACTTTTCATAAGGTACAGGGCAGATGTGGCACAGCTGAAATAGTATGTGGGTTTTAAACAGAACAATGCATAATCTATGGAGTCAAATGCTTTGGAGAAGTCAATATTTGCCATATGTTCGGTTCTGAACTTTGCATATATTCCAAGAATTCTAATAATATACCCTAGGGTGCCGAAGGAAAAGAAGAATCTAACTTGGCTGCAAAGAATATCTGCTTCTCAGCTCTAACAAATGCAGTGGCTACATTTTTTTTATTATTTATTATAAACTTCTGTTTATTCACAAGTATGGTGTAAAAAGCTCTTAAAACGACCTTAGTACCATTAGCTTCATGTTTACAGGCCTATTCATTTACCTAGGTATTAAAATTTACCATTCAGTAAATTTTGTTACCATTTCGTATTCTGAGCTCACTGTAACCCTGTAAATTTTGTTACCAGCGAAATAGGAGGTAACAAAAATATCTGCTGTTTGATTTTGTGTTGTAAATTTGAGAAAAAATAAAAAACCAAAATGGGTAGGCATATTTTAGGCCTGGAATTCATTGCAGATGAAGAAAAAAGTGCAAAAAGCCGTATTTTAAGAAGTTTTTGAGACTAAAAAATAACCCTTTTATTTGTAAGATAACGTTTTCATTCCGTTTTTTTTTTGTTGTCCAGGCATATTTTCCATAATTAGGTTGAAATATTTATGATTTAATAAACAAATTAATAAAACTTTTTAATTTTTTTGTGCACCGTCTTCCATTTCGATGTGAATACTTTTCTTTTTACTTTATCAACTGGCAAATGTAATTTGACATGGTCGAAAAAAGCAGTGCTGCCAAATATTTTTCGAACATTGTAACCAGTTCGCCAGAATACCAAATTCAATTTCGGGTGTTAAAGAAAATTACCAAAATTTACTTTGCCGGTAACAGTGAGAATTAATTATTGAAGGTATGCATTGTTTACTTAAACTGGCCTAAACAAACCTTCAGAATTTTATACCCCTTTAGTGCACACATCGAACAGACCTAATAAGATATCGACTAATTCGATTTCGATAACTTTCTCGGAAAATAGACCAATTGAGAAATGCCGGCAATTGACATTTCTCAATTTTCATTATCTCATTTTTATCGTTCAATCCTCTTCGCCACGAAATATAAGGTCACTGTACAATAAAAATACTATCCAATTCCACGTAAGTTCTTCAGGCGATTTACTAAATATTATTTTTTTAATTTGTAACAATTGGCCAACATGTACCAATTAGCCGCAATGAAAAACTTTTCATTGCTATTGCTTGTGTTGACTACCTCAGTAGTTTTGGCAGTAGCCGATATTCCACGTCCTCGAGGAGTTCCGCTATTCAAGGCGTCTTTATACGCTCCCCGTTCTGATAACAGTTGGGTCTGTTTAGATGGTACGAAAACTATTCGCTATACACAGTTAAACGATGACTACTGTGATTGTGCGGATGGCAGTGATGAGCCAGGAACTTCCGCCTGTGTAAATGGCCAATTTAATTGTGAAAATATTGGATACCGCGCTGAAGACTTACGTAGTTCACTTGTTAATGACGGAGTCTGCGATTGCTGTGACGGTAGTGATGAATGGGCCGATGGTGCTGTGCATTGTGAAAACACTTGTTTAGAACTTGGTCGAATAGAAGAAGAAAAGAAGCGATCATTGGCAGATTTGCATGAGCGTGGTAGTGCAAAACGAGCAGAATTCATTGCCAGAGGAAAGCAAATGCGTGCCGAGCGTGAGACACGACGTAAAGTGCTTGAACAGAGACGTAGTGAACAGGAGGCTGTAAAAGCTGAAAAGGAGGAATTGAAAAGAAATGCAGAAGCCGCTGAGGCTGAAGCATTGGAATTATTCAGAGAACAACAAAGAGAAAAGGATGCAGCAGCAGCTGAAGAAGCAAGATCACAAGACGATTCTCAAACAACGCGTTATGAAGCTGAAGCTGCCTTTGTAAAATATGATGCCAACAAGGATGGCTTTGTCGAAATTACTGAATTAATGGTAGACATGACGCTGGATCGTGACCGCAACGGTATCGTAACGGTTGAAGAAGCGAAATACTTCCTCGATGAACGGGATCGCATCGACTTGGACTCGTTTTATGTTCTATCGTGGCCCCGAATTAAACCAATTAAAATGCTTGCTGAAGGTATTTTTAAACCACCAATGCAAGAAGGAGAAGAGCCAGAACAAAACGAGCCTTCAAATAAGGAAGAGGTACCAGATCAAGAGACCGAAGAAGGTAAGTAAACTTATCCACAAATTAAAATATATTTATAATTATTAAAAACTATTTTTTACTATATTCAGAATCGGAAAATGAAGGTGCATATGGAGAAGAAGATTTATATGAAGATGAAGAAGGAGAAGGAGAAGCTGATGTTGGTGTAGGTACTGTAGCAGATGAAACACATACAGAACCAGATTATGACCCGGAGACGAAACGTTTAATTGATCTCGCAAACGAGGCACGAAATGCGTTCTCCGAAGCCGAACAGAGAGTGCGAGAAATAGACCATGAAATTAGAGATATTGATGATCATGAATCTAAAGATTATGGTCCGAGTGAAGCATTTTTCGCACTGGACGGCGAATGTTTTGACTATGAGGACCGTGAATATGTATACACACTCTGTCCTTTCGAGCGCGCTACGCAGAAATCCCGCCACGGTGGTCCAGAAACAACATTAGGTCGTTATGAACAATGGATTAGTGATGGTGACAAAAAATATGAGAAACAGAAATATGCACAAGGAGCTGCATGTTGGAACGGACCGCAGCGCTCAACTATTACTGAATTTAAATGCGGACTGGAAAATAGGATTACTTCGGTAACTGAACCTAGTCGTTGTGAATACAATTACATATTTGAAACACCCGCCGCTTGTGACGGCGCTGCTACACATGATACACGTCAACGTGATGAGCTTTAAAAGAAAGTTACATTCAATTCGTAAAGAAATGGTAAAATAACGCTGCCATTTTTAAAATCGAGAACTATGCAGTATGGAATTTCCCACGAAATAGAGTTTAATATTATTTTAAATATGAAGTAAAAAGTAACGGTGAATTCAATGTATTTAATAACTGTAATTTGTAATTGACATTTAGGAGCATCATCAGCATTCCTTTGATAGTAAATCATCAGCCCAGCAGGAAGTTTATTTATACACTTTTTATAATAACATATATACATAAGTTTATTTAGTCAATGTTTTTCATTTGTATTTCAATGAGATAAAAATAATCTGAAATGTTTGCTTCAACAACTTTCCGATTGAAATAAAGTGTATATTGGGTTATTTATAATTCCGGTACTTTCATTTCAATATATTGTAAAGATCGAGAACTATCTTTAATAATTGTAATAATATTTTTTTCTGTTCATTAAGGATACTCCGAGTTTCGAATGGGAGCTTTTTGAATATATTGTACAGTGGCAAACATTTCAAATACAATACAATTTTGTAAAAGAAATTGTATTTTTCGTGCTCGTTTAACCTTCATTTACAGCTAGTTTAAAGTCCTCTAAGTGTGCATCTAATTGATGTTCCAAAGCTAGTATATGACCGGTATTGCAATGCTCACCTCCAACAAAAGTTAATATTAGTGGCAGCTTATTCATTTGCACAACCTAAGAAATAATTATCTTGTATGAATGTTCTTTACAAAAATATATTTTATTTCTTACCTGGTAATTTGAATACATCGAAATTATTACTTTATTACGACCTAAACCCAATTTCCCAGCTTGTTCACTGGCTGTTGCAAATGTAGGTATGAAAGAAGGCATAAGAGCGAAATCCAAATTCTTATCCTGACTCACACGTAATAGTGGTACTCCATCTCGATCTGTTACTTGAATGACGTAGAGGCCGTTCACCCTGCAGTAGATATCAAAATATTATTAACCATATCGAAGCCAGGGTTATAGTAAATATGTAATTTAATACTGACTTATGCAACAATGCATTAAAATACTTTTTAACTTCATCCGTCATATTAAAAATATTTTTTGAAACTATAGTTGTAATTCTAATCTCTAAAAATAACTCCACTATAAATCAAAACAATCTCAAAAGTTTATCAAACACTCACTAACAATGGTAAATCAGCTGTTTTATAATCAAAATAGATTTATCGATTAATTGCTAATGTGTACGATAGAGATGGGCCGGAATTTTGTAGGCTTAGTAATATTTTGATTACAAATCATTTAGCAGATAGACGTCGTAGAAGAGAAAATAAACCTATATCTGTTTTATTATATTATTTATGTGAAAACTTGTAAAACTAATGTTGTTACTGCTTCAGAATATACAGGTAATTATTAAAGCTTTGGTGCAACTTTTCACTGTCCTGTCCTGCTTAAGAAACTACTTCAAACTTTGAAAACAAACATATAAGAAAAAACTCTTTACTTATTTTCAAATTGCGATGCGTTTTCTTACAACAATCGATAGTTCTTCTTTGTCATCTTTTTGAAGTGCATTTTATTTTAAGTGACGTATTGGAGTGCATCGTTTATTTCAGTTTATATACAATACTTATGATTTAGATACTTCCAAGTAATAACAAAGAAAAAAAATGGCTTTTCTTCGTGGTTCACTTAATTATGTATGGTGCACCACAAGTGTGCTTGGAAAAGGAGCAACTGGTTCCGTTTTCCAAGTAAGTATTCATATTATATATGTATTTGCTCCACGGACAATAAAAATATGTTTAATTCTAATAGGGAGTTAATAAAAATACCGGCGAGTCTGTCGCAGTTAAGACATTCAATCCTTACAGTCATTTGCGTCCACAAGATGTTCAAATGCGTGAATTTGAAGCGCTTAAAAAGTTGCATCATGAAAACATCGTGAAGCTTCTGGCTATTGAGGAAGATCAGGAGGGGCGTGGAAAAGTAATTGTAATGGAGCTTTGTACTGGTGGCAGTCTTTTCAACATACTCGATGACCCCGAAAATTCGTATGGTTTGCCTGAGAATGAGTTTCTCTTAGTGCTGGAACATTTATGTGCAGGCATGAAGCATTTACGCGATAATAACCTAGTACATCGTGATCTTAAGCCCGGAAATATAATGAAATTCATATCGGAAGATGGTCAAACCATATACAAGCTAACTGATTTTGGCGCAGCACGCGAGCTAGATGACAATCAAGCATTTGTGTCATTATATGGAACAGAAGAGTATTTGCATCCAGATATGTACGAACGAGCCGTACTACGTAAACAAATAAATCGCTCATTTACAGCAAATGTAGATTTATGGTCAATTGGGGTTACCCTTTACCATGTTGCTACAGGCAATTTACCATTCCGTCCGTTTGGTGGGCGTAAAAACCGTGAAACAATGCATCAAATAACCACCAAGAAAGCTTCGGGTGTTATTTCGGGTACACAACTATCTGAAAATGGACCAATCGAATGGTCAACTACGCTTCCTTCCTACTGTCACTTGTCTGAAGGTCTTAAAACATTGGTCACACCACTACTGGCCGGCTTGTTGGAAAAGAACCGAGAGAATACTTGGTCATTTGATCGTTTCTTTCAGGAGGTTACTTTAATTTTGCGTAAAATAGTGCTACATGTTTTCTTCACAAATCGTACAACATCTGTAGAGGTGTATCTTGAACCGGATGAACAAATCGATAACTTTCGAGACCGCATTTATTTACAAACAGAGGTGCCTATAGAAAAACAAATACTATTGTTTAACAATGAACATTTAGAGAGCAGGGTGATGTCCTCCTCCATATGTAAGTAAATATGTGGAAAAAATGTTCGCCAATTAAAGTTTCAATATTTGCAGCAAAAGCTTTCCCTACAACTACAGCAGAAAGTCCTATATTTTTATATAGCAATGATGACAATAACGTGCAGTTACCGCAGCAATTGGAGTTGCCAAAGTTCCCTGTATTCCCCACAAATGTCTCAGTTGAGAATGACGCAAGTCTCGCTAAGGTCTGTTTTTGATCTTTTTTGTCTTGTATGTAATAAATAATAATATCCTTATTAGGCTGCATGTAGTGTTGGCCATGAATGCAAGCGTCGAATCGATACTTTTACTTCAATGGATATGTTAATGAAACGTGGTGTTGAACAATTCATAGCCATGCTGATAACAACAATTACTTTGTTACTAAAGTATTTACTTCTTCTATTTTCAATTTTACAGTGTTTTTAATATTTTTTTTTTTCATATTACAGAAAAACCAACCATATTGAAAATCTGTTGACAACTACGCTTGATTATGCGGATGCAGTCAAACGACTTGGCAATATGGTATGCACATATAATGTGAAACTCTTTAACTTTGTTTAGCTTCTTGAATCTACTTTACATATTGATTAAACACGTCTTTGTAGACCAAAAATGGCCATGAACTAAAACCGATACTTTCGAAGTTGTACGATTTAAAACCCAACTTCGATGTTGCAGCTGACGTTATAATGCAAATGCATAAACGTTTCGTTGTGGAAGATGCCCTCAAGTTCGTATATTGCTTGAAAAAGCTGTATTAAGTTCAATTAAAAAAATTGTTTTTGTTTAGTGATCAGTGGTCATCGTCTATGCATGGAAAGCGGTGTCCTTGTCGCACACGAGCCAGTCCTCGAGCGAAGTATCTTGTGGAGCGATTACGAGATTCGTGGCAACATTTATTGCGAGATCGCGCTACACGTACACTCACATACAACGATGAACAATTTCATGCTTTAGAAAAGATAAAAGTAAGCAGATATATTTATATATATTTTACTTGAGGAACATATATGTATATAAATCCAAATAAAATATTATTCTAGGTATTACGCAATGGCGATCGTATAAAAACACTGCTTTTGGATGATGTAAAACCCGCCGTTGCGCAAATGGCGGAATGTCTGGCAGATTGGTATAAACTGGCACAAACTGTATTTCTTAAAACGCAGATATTGGAAAAAGACATACGCGATTATGAGCGTAAATTGAATGATTTGCGTGATAAGCTATATCATATCAAATCCGAAATGAAAGCCGATGAAAGTACAAGGACGAATGCGAATAATAATATTTTATCGAAAAATATGCAAAAAACTCTTATTAAAGTAAGTGTAAAAACTACTTTCATAATGAAATTATATTGTATTATTTTATGTTTTTTCAGAAAATGCACAAACAACACGAGGAAGTATTGGAAATAATGCATCAAAATGCTGTACTTATTAATCGCCTGAAGGAGTTGGGCATTGATTGCAGTAGTGTAAAACAGATTGAAACATTGAAGAATAAAACATAATTTAAATATATATCTAGAAATAAGATAAGACTGTAAAAATATGTTATATGAATGGAAGGGAGCTCATATTAAATTAAAGTGGAATGACGTGCGTTTGTTTGTATTATAATTTTTCATACGTATATCGCTTATTTCTAGATCTTTATCTTTGTTGCATGACATTTTTTCAATTTGTGCATTTAAAATCTGGAAAATTTATATATACATATATGTATATATTTTTTATTTTTTTACCATGTCATTTTTTATATGTATTATAAATTTTAAGCCCTTGTGTATTTAAAATAAATACTTTTTAAATTGGTTTTTTTTTTTGTTTTAAAAATTTAGAAATGATCCGTTGATATTTGCAAGTTTACAAATTCTTTATCAACTACAATGCTAAACAACACTACTGAAATTGGAATTTTTCGGACCATTAGTATTCAAATTTTCTAGTAGTACATAAAAATTAATTATCATAAATTTATAACTTACATACATATTTGTTTATTTAATTCAATTTTTTCATTTACAATTTTAAAGATTTTTCGAAAAATTCCACCATTAAAGGATATACTTCATCGTATTGTTCAATTTTCTTCCTTCTAACTTGATCACGATACCGTTGTATCGCTCCAGATATTAATTCTAACTTTTCACGATCTGATGTATGTCCTTCTAACCATTCTATCAAACGTTCGTTTGACCAATTCGCTGTCGTGTGTGGGCTCTGAAGTTCCGAATTAGCATAACCAAATAATAGAAACAATACGATGTAACTGGGCACCAGTGAATCACCACCAACACTTTGCTTTACCAATTCCTCGGGTGGTTGCACAATTAAAAATGACATTGCGCGTAATAACCGAGCTGGATTTCCTAAATCTGGTAGATTCGGGCAAATCGGTTTAAGTGCGTTTTCCATATGATTACAATCACTTTTCAAACGCTGGCGTCCTGCTTGGCTGATTGGACGTAAAATACTCATGTTGTGTATAAATAACTCTATACAACGTTTGGCCAATTCTTGACCGCATTTCGAAACCAGCTCTTTATCTTCAAAAGGACCTATGTGATTAGACCACACACGACTTATGAATTCCTGAAATGAAATCAAAAGTTATTTATATTTACATATGTATATGCAAATGTTTGTAATAGGGATTTGTCCCACTTGAATGTATTGATTTTTTTAACGTTGTAATATCCGTAAAAGCCGACTAGTTAACATTGTTTACTAAAATTAATTTTTCTAATTGCAGTCGCCACTCGGCAGGGCATACCAAACTGGCTAACTGATGAGTATTAACGAAGTGTCTATTATAAAACCATCTTTGATATGAAAGCGTAACTTACCTGTAGTTCTTTCATGTACATTGAAGGGCCAGAAGTAGAAATTTTCTCAGAACTAAGTCCTGGTTCGCGATGCATGCTAAGCAGTATGATACTAATAGTTGAAAAAATGGAGTCCATAATCTGTTGTAGTATAGTCCCAATTAATATATTTGTTTGGTCTAAAGCTTTTAATATGTCTTGTTGGGCAGTAGACTTGGATTTTGAAAAATGTACATCTAAATCGACCAACATCCGACGCACTGAATCTTTATGATAGTGTAATATATTCGATATAACCACATTCTGAGTTTGTTGGTAATTTGGAATGTCTACAACTTGTTTCGAATCGGCACCTAATTTTATTTGCGATTCCAATTTTTTGCAAAGCTCTTGACTACAAGCAATAAACACAGCAGACACTGAATTTGTTAAGCGTGCATCAATTAGAGCTGCACTTAACTCTGTAGATGCTACTCTTATAAGAATGTCAACTGTTTCATTGGATGGCATGTCGACGCCAGCCAAGCAAGCTTTCATATTTGCGGCGCATTTGCTTATGTAGCCCACTTCCAATGCGGAAAACATATCAGTATCAAATATAAATTCACCATTTAAACGTTCTTCAAGGCCACGGGCAGACGTCAATAACTTAGCCAATCCCTCTTGTAACGTTTGTGTTACATGAGCTGGACATTCGGAAAAAGATTTGCGAAGTAGCGTTTGTACGACTTGCCAAACATGATTATGTACATCATATATTTCAGTAGTATCATAGCCTAACTGTTTAATTTGATCCAGAGCACTTGTTAATAAAATTACTTGCTGACAAATTTCATAAAGTTCTTCATATAATAACCAATGTAAAGATTTCCAAAATTTTGCTCTGAAATTTTGGGTAGTAGTTAACATAGGTGTTTTCCCAGGCCCACGATTGGTCTTAGGCGAAGCTTTATTTATTGGTACACCCTTGTGTAATACCGATATGTCTGTACCAGCAAAACATTCTCGAAGCGATTGCTCTAAATCGGATATGAAAGTCGCAATTAAGTCATCCAAAGATTTTTGTAATAAGTTGAAGTTTTTAAATATCTATAAATTTTTGAAATTGGATTTTGAATAAAATTTAATTTAATTTATGAAATATTAAAAAAAGAATGGATATTAAATTAACTTCAGAAAAGTACTTTACCTTAAGCGCATTAACAACTTGGGCTTCACTCCTTTCCTGCAAACCAGTGACAAGCTGCATTTGTGTTAAATTTCTTAATTTTTGTCGAGAGTTTATTACTTCAGCTCGGGCGTTTTGAACGAAATCAATTTTCTTCAAGTCTTCATCCTCAATTAATTGCCCAAGTTCATAATGAAGTTCAGCCTGTTTGAGTGGATCCTTTGTTGATCGCAACTTTACTGTCAGGGAAAGTAGTGTACCCGCCGATCGTAAAAGGTGCGATAACTCGTGCAAACGTCCCAAAACCCTCGTTTGATTATCTACTTGCTGGTATTGAATGTCTATTTGATTTTTTAATTTATGTCCAATTGTACGTATTTGTTCCACGTCGTAAGACAAGGTGTTAAGAGCGACATCAAACCGGCCAGCATGCATTGCTTGCTGCAATAGAGCTCCATGTTTTTCACGTACTTGCTGATGGAGATCGTCATTCACATTTTGCAAACGTTTTGAAAGCTCCTGAATTTGCTCCTGAATTGTCGTGTTGGCATCAACTTTAGTAATTGATTCGTCATCCAATTCCGGCTTTATCCTGGATATTGAAAAATAATAACAGTAAGCACAAAATTTAATGAGGAATATCTTCTGCAATGCACATAGATTCTTACATTTTTTCACATTTGTATTTAGCTTTTTTAAAGATTGAATTAGAATAGAACGATGCTATACAATAATATGACCTATTGTAAGTATATATTTTGAAAGTAAATAAACATCAGATGACTGTGTTGCCGTATAAACATCATTTTAACATTAAGGTTGGATTTATCTTGCTTGCAAGTTTACATCTTCAAAACTATGTTTAGAAGAAAACACCTTAACTTAATACGAACTGCTATATGTAATATAATAAATTATTGTCAATATATAAATGAAAAGAAAATAATGAAGTATAACCATAAAAGCTCTTTATTAGGATTATAAATAATATATCAAAGTTCAACTTCCATTATTATACTGGAAGCTTGGACAAAAAATTAATCTACATATATGTGAGAGTCAGAGGTTATTATTACTCGATTTCTCCCATATACAATTTCCAGTATAAAAGTCCCAGATAGCATTTACACCATTACAACCATAAAAGTCCTTTGTAATGAATATATATTTAGTAAATTTTAATTCAGACTAACATGGTATTCCCTAAACAGCACCAAAATTACGAGGTTTTGAGTTATACACATTTCTTGTTTAATTTTCGAGTTAAGCAACTAGGAAATTCTGTTTCAGTTTGGTGGCAGCATAATATAGAACGAATTTTCGAAAAGTGTGGCACCGTTTTGAGAACTAAGCATTCGTTCAGGAGTTCGGGTAGAATATTTTTCGTTGGAAAAGTGTGAACTTTTATTTTATTCCGATAAGAAATTTGACTTTAAAATATGATAAATTTGCTCGAAAGCCTCTAGTTTTAAGTGAATATAGTGCCCAAACAAAAACTCAATAGAAATGCGTAAGAATGTGTGGAAAATAGTGTATAAGTGAAAATTCTATAACTTTTCTGAAAGTGAAATGACATTTTGAGAAGACTTGGACTTGATCGACGAAGGTGGCGGCAGCGGCCATTAAAGAATTCGTTGAGTTTGTCGGGATTCGGCAAAAGCTAAAGAAGAGAGGAGTGGTGCTTGCTAGTGATGCCGAAATTAGGGAACTGTTTTGCTTTATTGAATGGTACGAATTTAATAATTAATAATTTGCTTAACTTCTTGTAAAATGAAAAATACCGTTTGAGTGATTTACGGCAATTTACATAAGCATTTTATAGTAAATGTGCATAATTAAAAAGAGTAGAATTAGAAGTACGACAATGTATAATCTAAACCTATGTATTAACAGAACTTGTTTGTCAGGAAAAGGGGAGGAGTGAGTCGCAATTTGAAATGCAACAATTTTTTATTCGATTAATGTTGTGATGTTATATATTAATTTTAAATAAAAGTTCTAAGTGATTTGATAAATGTACTTGGATAAATTTTTAGGCATATGCTATCACTTTGAAAGAGCGCGTAAACGCCTTCCCATTGCTCCTCCCTGAATTTTTCAATATGACCTTTATGGGCATGCGTCGTTCGCAGCTCAGCGTTTGTTTCAATGAAGTTGTTTAGAATGGCGGCAGCGATTGAAGCTAAGTGTGTGTGTGTTTTTGATTATGTTGGTGGTGGTGTGTAGTAACAGAGGAGAATAATACTGTCTAGTTGCAAATGTGAACTTGGGAGGAGGGGAAGTAATGTCTACGAAGGGTCGATATGATTTATGTCCAATTAGTATTTGTTTATAAACAAAGAAATGAATAAGAATGTTTTCTAATTGTTTTAGATGATAAGAACTTTGTTTTTAAACATTCTTTTGTTTTGTTTTAATAATCATATCTATTCTGGATATTAAGTTTTAGCGGTTTAATAATTAATAGCACCTGTAGTATTATTTTAACATATTATTGTACTTTTTAAGAGAAATATCAATTTTTATTGTAAATTTTAAATAAAATTAGCAACAAATAACAACCGGTATAAAAATCTTCCTCTTAGATCTTGTACCTAATTCTTGGCTTTATAATAATCATTCTACAAATCATATTTTTTATTTCAATTCAGTTTATATCCAAAGGTTTTTAAAGCTTTCTTCCGCTGCCACTACCTTTCCCAATAAGGAATACAGCACTGTTGGGTATGCATTACCCCTCACTTTGCTTTCATAAGAATCTGTGTAAGTGCTGTTGTCTGTCTCGACGCGCGCAGCGGCCGATTAGTGTGAGTGCACTGAATTGAGCGTCAATCATTCTCGTCCGACCATTTGATATGTACTTCTTCGTTCTCATCTCCTTCTCAGCGGCGTTTGTAAGCAGAGCAGAGTAGAATGAATGGTTGTGGCAGTAGCAGTGGCAGCCGAGGAAATGGCAGCGATTTCGATGAGTTCTCTTCACTTCTCTCCACCTATTTCGGTTCAGTTGAGTTCAGTCTACGCACCTTAACTCGTCGTCTCACCTCCGCCGACGTATTTAGTTCCATTTGGATTTTTTCTTCCTTGTTTTTGCTACCAAAGTTCTTCCCCTCTAAATCAAGTTAATTCAAAGTTGTTCTTGAATAATATCCCATTAAGAAATAGAGTATAAACGAAAAAAAGTGTATAAATATTGAATGTCAAAAAAAAAAAAAAACTATTAACCCTTGCATATTTAAATAATACAAGTACATTTTATGTGTGCAAAAATATGTTGGAGGGGGGAAATGGAAAGAATAAAAAATGTGTTTGTTCAAACTAATGCAAGTATAAATTATGTATATGTTTATATACAGTATAAAGTGCAACATTAAGTACTGTAAAATAAATTTGAAAAATCAAGTGATTCGTAACCAGCTCGGAATTTGCGATTATCACAATACTTTTTGAGTGAAGAAAGCAAAATACCCAAATATTATATAGAGTTGGAAAAAAGCAAAATTTAAAACATACATACAGCAGAAAAGACGACTTATTAACGTCATCGTGTCATTCTGGTAATTGTAAATATGTATCAGGTATTTAATACAGTAGAATGTGTGAGTGGGTATTCGTTTGGCTGGTTGACTGTGCGAAGCAATTGGGATGGGAAGCAGAAGAGAAAAAGCGAATTGATGAGCGAGTTAGCAGGCTGTAGAAGGCAGGGTTGCATTTATGCGGGAACGAAATAAGCTTTGAAATGTATCTAAGCTGTGCGTATTAAGAAAATCGACAATCGGCAGTCCGTTGTCGTGCCCGCATATTGCAATTATATAAGTACGTAAGTGGGTGAATGATTCCATATGTGTAGCACTTACTCCAATATTTGTAATTGCATATGCAGAAAATAAACTTGATACCTTCATACATACATACATATATTGTATATGTGTATGTATTATATATGTACGTGCAAAAAAGAATATTAGGTTTGAAAAAGATGATGCTTTATAACACATTTCGTTCAAATTTCTAAAGGCAAAAGTTCTTTAGGTATGCATAATAATATTATTAAATATAATTTATAAGTAGATGTATGTAAAAATTATTTTATTGAGACATTGTTTATTTTTTTAGTACAAAATATGACGGATAAATATTCGGATAAGTACGTATTATTGGCCAAATACAAATGTATTTCTAGTACGATGAAGACGGCGAAGGTCAGGGAAAGTCAACTGGAATGGGTCGAATATATAACCATTATCGATACTCTTATTTTTAATACAATATATATTTCAACTATCTAGCTGTTACTACTTTAGTCACGCTTTTGTTAAAGTTTTGTATTTTTTATATTAATAATATATTTTTAATTATGATTTATGTTATACTATATTAAAGTTTTAAAATAGTTATCTCGTTTTAAAGTATAATATAAATCATACTTTTAAATTTCAACACAAACCCTGACCTTTTTTCCTGATTATATGAAAAATTAGCGAGCCAACTCAAATCTGTTATTCTTGTCGCACCTTTGCCCATTTTTTTTTTTTTTAATTTTTTTTTTTTTTGTTATTTATTACAAAGCACTTACTGAAATGCCGTCTAATTGAGTATAATGGAAAACGAAATTAAAGCATCGGTATACTGGCAAAACTTTATTGTATTAGAATGAATGTTGAACGCAGTCTCAGTCAAAACTCGACATAGCACAACACAAACATGCAAAGGCAGGCAGTGTGAATTGTGGTGATAATTATGACGATGATTTTAGCAAATTTGGGAGAGGGAGAGAGCGCAAAGAGAACGAACTTAAATTAGTATGGTTAAAAAGCGCAAAAAGTATCCAAAGAATTTGAAATTTTGCTTTTGATTTGATATATTTCTAATAAATATGTACTTATGTATGGATATCTAAACTTATTGTAAATTACATTGTTGAATTTTTTCTATTGAAATTAATTTTCGTTAACTGCATTATTTATAGAGAAAAAACGAATTTTTTTTAGGCAGTTACATCCCGTTCTTCAAGTTCAAGTCGTAAAATTAATAGTATAATACATATACAGAGAAACATGAATATATACATATGTATATGCGTATTTACTCAATTTATAGTACACATACTATATACACATCCCTAGGAATTAGAGGCGTTTAGGTCCAACTATTTTTGACAATTGAGGTGTCGCAAAAGTACCGAACTAATATGTACTAACAGCAAGAATAATTATTTTTGTTATTCCATAAACTGAATGGAACTTTACATTTAATTCTAAGTTGTTGGTAAAAAAAAAATATTTTTTAATATAGTGATAATTGTACCAATGTATCTGCTATGTTTGAACATTTTATTATAGAATTCCTTTAAATATTTTTTATTTAGTATTTACATTATTTAAATGGTTGTAATCAAGTTATTTTATTTAAAATGTGTATATTTTCATTCTAACTAATTTACCTCGCAAATTGACGGTGTCATGGTTAATAGAATGATGGGAATAAATAAAGTATATCTACGTACACATAAATATTTATGTAACTCGAAAATGCTGAATAATAAGGAATATTTGAGATGACGTTTGCTCACTTCGTGCATGTCGTAATTGCCGAAGGGGCGGCGGTATGAGTGCTGGCTGCAGTATAGATCTTTCGTCAACGTCGATGTTTGTTATTGGCAAGAAGCGCATTATGGTGTATTTGTTGCTCTATTCTAGCTTAGGTGCGGTATTATTGGCAAGAGTGAGAGGAAGCTCATTTTTTTTATGAATAAAAGCGTAAAAGAGCGAATTGGAAGTGCACACAATGAAACACTCAGCACACATGACTTTATTGCTTGTAAAGAGTGAAGCGTATGGTCATATGAAAGAGATTTAAAAGGGGTAAAGGAAGCAAAAAGACTGCTCACGACATAGCAGTCGTTTAGGCGGGTTTTGGATTAATTTATTTTGCAAATTTTCTCTTTTCCAGAAAGTAAAGTAATTTAAGGTGGTGTTACAATTACTAGAAAAAGTAATTTGTTACCCATCTAGTGGTTAATTTTTAGTTTATGTATGTAACGCTGTGTTTTATAGCTAGAATTGTTGGCAATGTTTATGCTATAATTTTACTGTAAAAATATTTAATTTGTAAAACCTTTTTTTTTCCAGCTTCCCTATAATACTTTAAGGATTCAACTTCTCCATATTTAGGACAGATTTCGTCAAGTTGGAAAATTCAGTGTTGAATTTTTAAATATTTTCATATTCATAAATACACAGCATAAATATATTTTTACGAAACTTCTAAGAAAAAAGAGATATCTGGAGATAAATATTATATATTTTTAAGTAATATAAAATTTGGCAAAATTAAGATACAAAAGTGGAGTACTAGAGTGTACTAGAAATTCGTATTGAAGATGATCGCCATACTGAACTGGATTGTGTGGTGTTTGGAAAATGAATAGTGAACATGCAACAGTAAAAGCATCTGCTGGTGAGTCAGCGAAAGCCACAATTACTGTAGCAACAGCTAATGAATTGAATCGACAATATCAGCAACATCAGCAGCAGCAGCAACAGCAACAGCAACAAAATTCACCACAGCAGCATATTAACGACTCGACGCATTTGCAGCAACATTTGCAATTACAACAACCGCAAAACCATCACCTAAACGAGGTAAGCGCTCTTTATTCGAAATTAATTTCTTTTTAAGCAATGTATGTACATAGATAAATATGTATGTACATACATATGTGTTTTTACTGCTGTTTATGATTTGTATATGTATGTATCATATGGCTTTATTTTATTTGACTTTTTGTTTGTTTGTTCATCTATCAAATTCCATAACTAATACATATTATAAACATTGTTTGTTTACTTTTTGTTTCTCGTATTTGGTCTCATTTTTCCATTAGTATTGACCACTTATAACTCTGTTATGCTAGCACTCGTCGAAGACGTACGCGTATGACGTGTGATACATATACATACATACGTGTACGAACATATGTATAATATTGGGCAAATCTAAAGCTCTTATTGTAACATGAAAATCAGTTGATTTCTTTAATTTACATATTTACAAAATACAAATAGTTTCTGTAAAATTTACTAAAGCGCGGCAGGGCTTGACGAAATTTCCATTGCAAAAAGTTTTTTTTCAAAAGACCATAACAAATTTAATTTTTATACTTATGTTATAACAAATTTTAATTTTTCACACAAAAATATCGCTTTTTAAATATTTTGGAGATAAAATTGTGTAGCGAATTAACTGTAATTGAATTTTGTACTCTCCAAAACGTTTTAGGTCGATATTTTGATATCAGAAACGGACGTTGTTGCCCTCTGCTTAGGTGTACAATACTTTAGCTTGAGCATTTGCCACGAATATATGTAACTGAAATGTTTTTCATTAACATTGTTGTACTTACTGGGAGCTTAATTCTGATCAATGGAGTAAATAATCTATATTAGCATGCTTATGACTGTTGTTATTTTGTTATGTTGTTTATGTTCCATCAATATCATTGCCATATGTATATATTGTATGTACAGTGTAACATCTACTTGCGGACACCACCAATGAGCGGACACCTCTTATGACAGGAAAAAAGTTAGGAACCACGTTTTTCATTGCGTTTTTAGAACAAGTTCCACTCCAATAACCGGACGCGGACCTCTCGTTAACGGAGAAGACGCGAAATTCTAATTTTATTATTTTTGCTAATACAACATTCATTTGTCAGTCCCTCGATAAGGGCATTATACAAAATTTTATATGTTATAGATGCAACATTATCAATCATATCAAGATTAGGAAACATTCCAATCGGGAAGCTTTCAAAAACTTTTGCCATTTTGGAGGATATTTAATTTATTAAATGTGCATGGGGCAACGGAACGGCCGAACTGTATTTCAAAAACCGGTTTTCAAACAACTCCGTGCCAAATTTATGGTTTCGATGCAGAGAAAGAAATTCCGACGTCTCTATCAGATTTGAAAAGGAATCTCGTTAATACAGAAGACAATAATATTGACATTTTCATTGACAAAATTTATATAGGTGGAAAGTCTGTCGGAGAAACCGAGAGTGAGAGTGAAGTACGTGTCCAAGATGAGTATCAAATTATGTAAACGATGAGGCATTCGAGAAACTTCGTCGCATAAATTTTTGCTTAGTGACGTTATTGGATTCCGATACGCCAAACTTTACATACATAATTTGAAAACTTAAAACTTAAATATAAATTGATTTGTTCAAATATGTATACCTTCAAAATAAACATGAAATAAATTACTAGTTTAATTAAGTTTAGTTGATAAATTTTACTTTCAATTTTGTCCCTCAACGCCCATATTCCTTTGAATTGATTGTTATGATCAAAAAAAAAAATTCTGTCTACGTGAACTATAGCATGAAATTCGGTGCATTGTTCGAACACGTTTTCGTATTTATGTTCGACTTTTTGAAAACTTAGCTTATGGATTGTTATAGATTTGTTTTCGAATTTTTAGGTTCGTTTAGACCATCTAAGAGTTATAAAATTGGCGCTTTGTAACCGCCGAAGCGTTTTTTGGCCGAGCTCCTCCTCCAAATTGTGGTTTTGTGTCTTTATGTTTTTCCAACAAATTCTAAGGGTTACGTGTAATTAACTAAAAGTCTTGTGACCTTTTAAAAATGATATAATATATATATATATATATAATATGTATAATAAAAATATTTATGTATTGTGGAACAAATTGATTCGGTCTGTTCCTAAGAGATGAATCCACCTCCAAGTTGTGACCGTTCTTGAAAGCTATTATTTGTTTCAAATGAAAAACGGCAAGAAAAGACTGAAAGGTGTTTTTTCAACAGGACAACTTTCGGTCCCATGTTTGCTGTAACGGTCAAAAATTAGCCGGAAACGCTGAAATGGGAGATCTTACCCCATCCGCCGAATTCTCCAGGACAAAAAAAAACGGACTTATATTAGTTTGTACCCCAATTGTAGATTATATAATTATGGAATATTATGTGCACACCATATTTAATGTGCTGTTAAAGTAAAAGCAATATAAGAAATTTAAACTTAGAAAACAAATTTTACTTCGACTGCTACTACTGAGCAAATTTGTTAGGAGCAAAAAAAATTCAACATAGTTATAAAAGATCATCAATAATAATTGGCTTATAAAAAAATCCGAAAAGATCAAGGTTGGAAAATTCTCGACAGTTGTCGCTGAGGCCAAATTTTATTTTCCAGCTCAACACAGCTACAAGTGCTCATTGAATCTAACAGCTGATAGTACAGTTATATTCTTTCAGTGCTATATGAAAGGAATGAAATGAACGAAGCAATTTTATGAATGAATTTGTAGATCTCTGCAGTTCTTTTGCCTGATTTAAATGCATCTTCCCCATTCTTAATTCGCTATTTACTTTATGAGGCGCAATTGACCTAGACGCTGCTGCTGTCGCCTTATTCTTCTGCTTTCCTTTTAATAATGTGAACTTCTATCCACATTATCCAGGTTCAGTTCTTCCGGGAAATTTTTAAATTCTTTGTCGGGGATTTCGCTTGAGGTTTCTTCCACTTCTCATATACAACTAATAACAAATATTTGTACTCGAATACGAATCTATTTAAATAATTGTCACTCTCCTTTCTCTTTTCTGAAGTTGTCTTCACAAACACATCTTTACATAATTTTTTTTCTTACAGAATATAGTTTTGTTTTAAATTGTGAATCGTTTCTCTCGTTGACCTCTTTAAACTAACCCTTTTCTAATGATATCGATATTGTTGTTGGCTGTCTTCCTTTTAATCGATTATGCTCCTTAATGTTTTGTAGCACAAATTTCTTGTCCACTAAGCTACCCTCATTTTAAAATCTCTATTACATTTATCAACCGTCATATGTGTGTACATGTATGTATGTATTTTATTCGATGCCACACCTCTTTAACTCTGCTCTCTCCACTCTGCATGTCGTTTTTCAAAACGAATGATTTGCCGCTTCGGAATAAGCTTTAGTGTTGGCATTCAATATCGAATCTGAAATTGTCTTCCATTGTTTGTATTTATGCGGAGTGTGTCGTATATGGTAGGCGGCATGCGCTAAACTATCTTGGCCCATGTAATAATATGGCGCTCCTTATTTCTGCTAAGCTTATTGTCTTCTTTCACTGCAATTTTAGTTGGGCTTGTACCTACTCATCGATGTTAATCGTCTTTTCATAACTATAAATTTAGGTACACGAGTATGTTTGTATATAAATGAAAATAAATAAGGGCACACAAATCGTAAATATAAAATATGTGCGTTGAACATTGAAAATTTGGACCACGACAATACGACATGATGGAGCATCTGTTCAATTTAAAGCTAAAGAGCACGATACCACGACTATTTTGCAACACAGTATTTATTTAAAAAGTATAAGATAATTATACCAAGAATTTATAAGTTTAAACGAAAAAAGTAAAAAGTAGGGTTTTTATATTTTGCAAAGACAGTCACTGCAGCTCTCAAAATGTTTCGGTCTTTGCTTTTAAGTGGATATTTTGCAGTGATGTCGTGTCGTGTATTAAATGCTCTAAGCTTAATGTCTGCATATCGCACACACGTACTTATTTACATATATACGAAATATGTAATAAATTCATAAATAAACTAGAGTATATTCCACTTAATTGCACCTAAACTTAATTAACCATTGCAGATAATGGTAAATTTCACAAATAAATAAATTCTTATTGCATATTAAATAACTGTATACAATGCAAAAATTACATATGTATGTATTTTAACAAAATCTTTTGTATAATTAGTTTCAAAAAATTTCATGAACTCTTGCATATGTACAGTGAACCACACGAATGCCAGTATAAAAAATAATTTAGACTTGAACTGGATCGATTCAAATCGATTAATGGGACATTGTTTTGTTTCTTAATTCTTTTTGTTTTCTATTATATTAGGAAATTGCTCATTATACAAACAGTGCATACAAAAAATTTATTTTATTTTTAATGTATTTCTATAATGTGTAATTTTTTAATATATCATCAGAAGTATGTTACTACACTGTTTGTATAACGAGCAATTTCCTAATATAATATACGATTTGAAAAATATTTAATATCAGTAAAAAAATTATTTAATGTCAGGGAGTAGTTACAGATTTTTTTTCAGTACTCAATAAACGCCAGAGCTTAAAAAAATTTTTAATGAAAACGTCTCTATAAAATTTCAAAATTTGTTCTATCGATTACACAAGTATTACAAAACTCTTTGTTTCAACTACAAATGTAGTAGAATAAGCTTTCGACGTCCTTAAATTTTCATTAGAATTATTGAAATTATTTAATTTACATGAAGAAGATATAAAAACAAACAAACATTTCAGATTTACTTTCTATTATTTAAAAATTGCTATCTCAATGATACCAAAAATATATATAAACTTCATTAAAAAATCCTAACCTAAAAATAAAGGCTCAAATATATATTTTTTCTATTTTAAGTTTAGTGTAATTGGAAAGAATTCGCATTCTTTTTTTTTTTAATTTTTAATAAATTATTGTTTGCCATTCAGCAATGCGGTTTGATTTTCATGGCTTTTTCGTACCCAAAAGAATTTAATAACTAATTTGGCGGATATTTTTTTTTTTTAAAAGCAAGCAGCCGATTTTTTTTTCTTTAGATCCCGTATAGTATAAGGACATAAATATGTATGTATATTGGAATATCATACTTGTACATGTATCCTTTACACTTGTGCTCATATTGTATTTCATCAATAATTACATAGGTACTTACGTACATAGGAATTTATGTGCATATGTACCTACGTTTTTGTGTATGTAAAAGCTCACTTTAAGTGTACACTACCTTCAAATTCTGTATATTTATGTACTTTGAAGTGCAAAGTTTCATACAAGTATACACAAACATACATTCACACACACACACACACACACACACACACACACATCCACCATAGTAAAATTCACGTAACCGTATATGGCTGCATATTTTTTTACATTTGTACCATACATGTGTGCTAAATGAGCTGTTGGTTTGCAGATAAATCACGTGCATACATCATATGTATATACTTACAAAAAATACATACATACATGCATATGTGAATGTTATGTAGCTTACGAAAAATAATAACAATTGCATCCAAAAAAAATTAGAAATTTCTGAAGTTGTGATATTTCAATTTTTAAAAGCATCCAACAACATGTTGCAGCTCCAAAAAATACGCAGACAAGAAACATCTCAGCAGCAGCAGCAACATCAATTGCATCACTCCCAGCAGACAAATTCAATGTCGGTGAGTAGTGGAGGAGATCGAGGAGGCGGAGGAGGTGCTGGGGCCAGCGGCGTCAATATCGCTGTAAGTTCCTCCGTAGTAACCGCTGGCGCTATTGGCAGCGCAAGTGTTGCCGGTAATGCCTGTAATGCTTCCGGCAACAATTTAATACCTCTTGCTGTCCCTGGTCAACATCAGCCGGTTTCTGTAGCAACAATTGCCGCTGCGACAGCCGGGGGTGCAATTATATCTACCGTGCCCACAACTACCCCTGTTAGTGTTGGGGGTCTAACCATAAGTGTCGCTAATGCTCCGGCAACAATCCTCAGTGGCAATGTTTCCGATCAAAAGATGTTGCAACAGCAATTACAACAACAACAATCAATGGGTTCTACTGGTGTCACAGTGTCAACGGCAGCACCAACCACAACCGCACTTCTACCAAATGCACCAAACGTAAGCGTTCTTCGTCGTTTGCACAGAAAAAAAAACGAAAAGAAAAAATAGACACATTCAAAACTACTCACCTTATCAAGCATAAATGCTGCATATCAACAAATCACCAGCTCATACAAACAAATAAAAATGCAATACGGCGCACTATCTTCCGTTCATATCAATAAACATATATACTTACATACATATGTATATGCATACGCACATACAAACACGTAACATTCATATTCGCATAATACATATATTAAGCGCCAACCCCAGATTTGTGGTGCTTCATTGTTTTAGCTCAATTTACTGATATTCTTTTTTGGAATGTGCATACATACATACATATGCATGTATGTACACAAAAAAAAATTTGGAGCGTCTAATCAAATCAGTTTAACTAAAAGATGAATATATTATTTTTTTTTTGCTTTAATTTGCTGATCTTGCATGGATTTTCAAGTCAGTACATCCCGGTTAACCAAGAAAGTGTGAATCCTCAATTGGTCAACGCATAACGTAAAGAAGTTTTGCTCAGCTGTTTTAGTATTTAACATCTTATCTCTTTTTTTAAATTCTTTCTTAATTTTTTTTAATCGTTTCGCCCCCTTCTTGCATCTGGTTCTTTCATAACTATTACACCAAAATCCATTAACTTAATATTTTGCTTTCGAGTTTTAACATCTCATCAATTTTGGAATAATTTCTTGTATGAAAGTATATTTTTGTATGTATGTATAATTTATTTGTCTCTTGCAGTTGAGCAAGTATTGGGTGGTTTCGAATGGTCAAGCGCTTCCCTATAACTTATTACCTAATGGCACCATAATCACACCACATCAGCGGCAGCCAACAACAACGGATCAGCAGCACACGCATACGCAACAGCAGGTGCCACAGCAACAGCAGCAGCAACAACAACAGCAGCAACAACAACAACAACAACAACAACAACAGCAAACAAATTCATTGCAAATACACGGTAAGCAAAAATGTTAACCTTCAAAAATGTTCGGAAACATTTTTCAAATAACATATTGCTACGTAATTCATTATAAAGTATTTGTAACAATTTTGAAATAATATTTTCAATTTCGAGTTTTATTGTTAGAATTTTATCAAGTTTATTCCCAAATTTGTTGAAGTACTTTTAGTATATTCGCTCGATATAGCTAAACTCGTCAATTTTTCACTTTACAGCCACAATAAATACAAGCGATGACAATCGACAACAACAGCATCAAGTTTCGCAACAGCAACATGTAGCCGCTGGCGTGCAACAGTCCCAGCAACCCCAACAGCAGCAACAGCAACACCAATTAATACAACGGGAGCATATTAAGGAGGAGAAGCCATTTATAGATAACGGAAAGCTAAATCAATCAATTGTCATGCAACACGTTAGTGCAACACCGTCGTCTGCGCCGTCGACCTCTGGTGCCACCACAATCACGTTAGGTGCGCCAAAAACCGAAATAAAAGACGATGTTGGAATGGGCAAACCGCCGCCAGGCATTGAAATGTATAAAGTTAACATAGAAGACTTTTCACAGCTCTTTACCTATCACGAAGTTTTTGGAAAAATTCATGGTGATGTTATGAACCAGGCTGCACATTCAGTTCCAAATGCAGCACCGCCACCAACACACAGTAATGCGAGTAACAATGCTGCTGTTGCGGCTGTTGTGGCCAGTGCTAATGCAGCTGCTGCAGCAGCGGCGGCGGCAGCTGCAGCCGCCAATACTACAAGTGGCGTAGTGGCGCCTACTACTACCCCAAATTTAACAACGGCCATCTCCACCAGTGGCACAACGACTGCACCAGCCACTTCTGTTACAGCAACACCAACCGTAACGGGTGAATTGTTGATGCCGAAAATGGAAGGAGGACTACCAGTTGTCGATCAAGCAACAACAATCACTCTAGCCCCGGATGGCACGCCTATTGCCACAGGCACACATGTGTGCGACATTTGCGGCAAAATCTTCCAATTTCGCTATCAGTTAATTGTACATCGACGCTATCATAGCGAACGAAAACCATTCAATTGTCAGGTATGCGGTCAAGGGTTTACTACCTCGCAGGACTTAACACGTCACGGCAAGATACATATCGGTGGACCGATGTTTACGTGCATTGTGTGTTTTAATGTTTTCGCAAACAATGCCAGCCTGGAGCGCCATATGAAACGACATTCAACCGATAAGCCTTTCGCTTGCACGATCTGTCAGAAGACATTTGCACGTAAAGAACATTTAGACAACCATTTTCGTTCGCACACGGGCGAAACGCCGTTCCGATGCCAATATTGCGCCAAGACATTCACACGCAAGGAGCACATGGTTAATCATGTGCGCAAACACACGGGTGAGACGCCACATCGTTGCGATATTTGTAAGAAGTCCTTCACGCGCAAGGAACACTATGTCAACCACTACATGTGGCACACTGGTGAGTGGTGGGACACTTGACGTTGTCGCAAATCAGTTCCCTCTCTAACCTCACATTTTATGATTTCATTCACATTATTCATCTAATGAAAATTTCCAAAAGTTTGAAAAAATTTTTATACTACCGACATTCACGTTTCAAAACTAATGTGTTGTTTTTGCCACCATGATTTTATCAATATCTATATTACAGATCGAATAACTTTTACTCATCTGACACAAATTTAGAGATAGTAGATTATTTGTTGAGTGAATTTGCTACTACGTGGACATCGTTCGTACGAAGAAATATACGAAGATATTCATTTGAATTATCTGCTGCAATAATTTCCGATATATTGCGCCTGCGAATGGAATATAATGTTGAGAATTTCAACTAATCAGTATTGGAATGAGTTTTTTGTTCGTATTTTTTGAAGTTAGTTGACGTTTTTAGTGATGTTCAAGCCATTTATGTAGCTCAAATGGTGCTACTCGCCGCTAGGATAAAAAAATTACTTTAGGGACACCCTGCGTCACCCCTTAGCGTCCTTTCATAAAATACAACACTGCATTTCCTAAGGACAATTGGATTTGTTTGACGCTCTAAGTACTGATTCGAAGATTTTTGTTAAAATGTTTCAATTTTTTCCATATGGCGCAACCAATAATTTTTTTCCAATCAAAAGGGAGAAGCAATCAGATTTCCACATCACGCCCACCACTCTGAATAATCGTGTTCTAGAAGAAAATCTTGTCGACATCTCAAGTAATCAATCGAAAAACTTAGCATATTACTGAACTCTCACATTTTCATTTTTTAAGCACCAATGTCTCAATTCATAATCTCTAAGTAGGCTTATGTTAGAAAAAATTCACTTTTCTTTACAGGCCAAACACCTCATCAGTGTGATGTTTGCGGCAAGAAGTATACACGCAAGGAACATCTAGCCAATCATATGCGTTCACACACTAATGACACTCCATTCAGATGTGAGATATGCGGCAAAAGCTTCAGTCGTAAGGAGCATTTCACCAATCACATTCTCTGGCATACCGGTACGTATAGAACACGCCTCATCGCAACCCTTGTAGGTTTTTTCAAAACTGATCATACAATACCAATCTGCAGGCGAAACACCCCATCGTTGCGATTTTTGCTCTAAGACATTTACACGCAAGGAACATTTGTTAAATCATGTACGTCAGCATACTGGCGAATCGCCCCATCGTTGCACTTATTGCTTGAAAACGTTTACGCGTAAGGAACACCTAGTAAATCACATACGTCAGCATACAGGTGAAACACCATTTAAGTGCACCTATTGTACGAAGGCATTTACGCGCAAAGATCATATGGTGAATCATATAAGACAACATACTGGCGAATCGCCACACAAGTGCACTTACTGCACCAAAACGTTTACACGTAAGGAGCATCTTGTCAATCATGTGCGTCAGCATACAGGCGAGTCTCCACATCGTTGCAGTTACTGCAAGAAGACTTTCACACGTAAAGAACATTTGACGAATCATGTGCGCTTGCATACTGGTGATTCACCGCACAAATGTGAATATTGTCAGAAGACATTTACGCGCAAGGAGCATCTTAACAATCATATGCGTCAGCATTCAAGCGACAATCCTCACTGTTGCAATGTCTGTAACAAGCCATTTACCCGTAAGGAGCATCTTATTAATCATATGTCACGTTGTCACACTGGCGATCGTCCTTTTGCCTGTGAAACTTGTGGTAAATCATTTCCACTCAAAGGTAATTTGCTGTTCCATCAGCGCAGTCATACTAAAGGACAAGAATGCGAACGTCCATTTTCATGTGAGAAGTGTCCTAAGACATTTATATGTAAAGGTAATTGAATTGAATATGTGAATGTATATGATATCCGAGATAATAAAATTACTTATTCTTAAATAATCATTAGGCCATCTTGTCTCTCATATGCGTTCGCATTCGGGCGAGAAACCACACGCTTGTACATTGTGCAGCAAAGCTTTTGTAGAGCGTGGAAATTTGAAGCGACACATGAAGATGAACCATCCTGATGCGGTAATGCCTCCACCACCACAACCACACCCACAAATTCCAGCAGGCATATTAGCTTCAGTGAAAGAGGAAATCAAGCCGATATTTCGTAAGTGTTCAATGTTTAAAGTAAACTAAGTAATAATTTGCAAAACACCACGAATGTTTGAAACTTTTAAAATTTGACGTTTGGCGTTTTTAGTTTTTTAACGCTAAAAGTAACAAAATTATTATTTTTTCTTTGTTTTAAGAAGTAGCTGTTGTTGTGCAGCAGTGAAAGAAACATGATATGAGAGATTAACAGTAAATACCTAGTTCAGAAACCTAAATTTTGTAAAGGATTGAAAAAGTTTGTAATGAGAAAAAAGCCGATTTGTTAGGGAATGCTAAGCAAAATTGAATTCGAAGAAAAATGCCAGCTTCTTTTTAAGAAAAGGGATCATTTGGAAACATTGTTGATAAAATTAATGTTTAAATTCGTAATTAAAAACACAATTTAGATTTGAGTTACTATTTATTGTTTCTAAACGTTTTACTCACATGTTCCAACCAATTCGCTCTGTTTCTTTCAGTTCCCCATCAAACACCAACAATGCACACTATCCAGCAAATAACATCAGGGGCTGCTGCGGCGAATGCCGTACAGTTGGCGCCCAGTCTAGTGCCGCTGGTCACTTCAACAATAACATCGCACAATAATCAGAAACCACAGCAACAACAGCAGCAGCAACAACAACAACAGCAGCAGCAAGCACATCAGCAACATCAACAACAAGTCCAACAGCAACAACAACAGCAACAGCAGCAGCAACAACAAGCACACCAGCAGCAACAACAATTGCTGCAATTATCTCTACAACATCAACAACAACAGCAGGAACAACATCGCCAACACCAGCAGCAACAACAACAGGTACAGGCACATCATCAACAAACCCAAGCGCAGGCGCAACAACAAGCACATGCACCTCAACCTCAACCGCCACCAGTGCCAATCGCACTAATCCAAACTGATCCGAGCGCTTTAGCACGCGCGGCAATGCAATTGCAACACCTGCCAGCCAATGTTGAGCAACATCCGGTGGTTTACTAACAGCAGCATAACTTTGCAAATTGGTGAGGCGCATTAACGGCAGCGTTAAACAGTAACAGTAACAACAGTAGAGCGGATGAAATGTGTGTGGTGGATAGAACGGTGCTAAGTTAAATACGCGCAAGTCTGCAGCTAATACTATGATTCCCACTGGTGCTTTCGTGACGCATGTAATGCAGCTAAGAAGAGAAAGCCGGTAGGCGGTAGGGAAATATTATGAGAATTCATTATGTTTATTCTTCAGAACGTATTTCTACGTTCATATTTTTAGTTGTTTATTTGAATTCAACTGTGTTTATTATTATTGTACGTAAGCATACATAATGTATGTACATATGTACAACAATTATAACTTGCATCTAACATTGATTGTTGGAAAAATTAATTGTAGAATATTTAAAGTATAATTTTTAACACCTAACTTAGATTGAAAATAATAAGAACTATTTTTTTTCTATAATCAATGCATTGAATGCACATGCTGCTTACTGTTTAGGGTACTGGTTCAACTACATAACCTGCCTAAGCGCATGAGTGCACTACCTACTTCATGTAGTTGCATTTTATATTTAATTTTGAGCTGCATTGTGCTTGTATCATTTTTCAGCGAAAGCTCTTTAAAAAATTTGTTTTTATTATTAAGCTTGACTTATTCAACTTAACTTTCTGCTCTGAATATTTTGTTTTAAACGTAACGAATGGTATTTTTGTGCAATATTGACGAGTTTTACGAAGGCCTACTTCTAAAGTAGCAGCAACACTCCGATTTAAGTACCAGTGTATTTCAAAGCTTATTTATACGGACTTATGCTAAGCAGTTAGATAAAAGCGATTGTATTTGAGCTACATGTGGAAAATATTTAAAAATTAAACTTTGCATAAACTTTTTTTCTTTTTTAATCTTTTCATATAAAGTGTTGCGTTTTGCATGTGATTTGGTCATTATTATTTCACATAAATTGAAATTTGCAATAAGGTTAAAAAACTTAGTATGCTCAACTTTGTGCACATTTTCGAGAACTTTACTTAAAACTGAAGATTTATGGTCCTTCGCTTGGAGCTGTTAAATACAAAATGTGCCATTTAATTTTTGCACATACTATATATGTGTGCTCATGTATGTATAACATATATGTGTGCGCACTTCATTCGTAATAATTTTTGATGTGGCAATGAGAGATGTTTGTAAACCTTATAAACTTTAGAGTGGTCGTTAAAAACTATATTTTCCGATGTAAATACGAAGCTATAAAAATTAGCCTAAAATCGCTACTGGTTTTTTGGAGTTAAAAGAATTGTATTCTTAAAAAATATAACTTTTTAGATATTGGCAAAAATATAGTTCTTACCCATCACTAATATTTTTGCATACATGCATTCTATATGCTATAAATATGTTGCACATTTGGTCATGCCACATCTTTTTCCCATCGCTTTTATCTATTTTTTTTTAATCTTTGTTAGAGTATTACTTTTTGGTCTGCAGCTGAAAAGGTACAACCATTTTCTTTACTCTCCCATAATATATCTATAATAAAAAAAAAATAAAACTTAGTAAACCTTAGGTGGTACGCTGTATTATTCGCATTTTAGATATTTAAACATAATTATAATTAAGTGACGGTATAAAGGTGAGACATAATTCAAAAAATGGATAAACCTATTAAAGTTAAACATCATTTTTTTATATCAATATTATTTGAAAATTACAAAAAAAAAATTATGATTTATGAAGAAAACCTACATGTGTAGTAGAATGCCAGGCTTTAAGCGCAAAATATGCAAAAAAAAGATGTAAAATAAAATTATGTTTCTGAATTTCGGTATTATTATTATTGATTAGAGTGAAATAGTGCAGTATGGAGGTGTCAGTTTGCCTGCTAAGAAATCCACAGTTTAACCATTCATATACATACTAGATAATTAGAAGCTAAGTCAGCAGCAATAATAAGAAAACATTTAAAGTGAAGTCTAAAAACAAAAGCCTATGCAAACATTTTAGCACGAAAACTTAGTGAACATTAAAAGAAAATCATTAAATTAGTTATACATGCATATATACAAGCAAGATTATATACATACATACATATAATAAATATATATACATATATATATATATCTATTAAAGATTATTGGAGACATTACTAATAAAGTATATGGACTAACATACACATAGGAACAGTTAATTACACATTTATACAATACAACAACACAATCATATTATGATCTACATAATAAATCACACATGTAAATGAAACACTAAAGAAAACTGCTAATAAATTGTTGGAAAACGGTCTGGATATTCGGTTTAGAATATATACAAATATTCACAAATAATGTGTATTTATTGTGTGTGCAAATCCTGAGCACGACGAACATTTAGAATTTTTTTTTAATGAGGCAGTGAAGTTTCTTCACAAGAACCAGGCTTGAAATTGCAGTTTATGTAGAAACTACCTTTGGTCTGTTCAGGTTTTGCACCCACAACCGGCGGCTTGTGCACACACTGCTACCCCTTTCGGCCTCAGCAGCAGCCAATCACTTACTCATTAAAGATTCCAACAATTTATCCTTGGTATTCCAATGTAAGCAATTTCAACTTTCACCGTTTAAATTGAAGGGAGAATCTTTATGCAGATCATCGTTTACATACACACATACATACATACATACATATGTATATATTAATCAACTACATTTACACTAAACGAAATATAAAAGAAAAGCGTACATATATGATCCAATATCAATACTAAACTAATTATACATTAAAAACAATGAGGAAATAACACTAAAATATAAATATTAACTGTTTACGCTTTAATTTACAATTAATCAATACGCATAAATGTATGGGGCCGACTAATGATGAATAGAATATAGTGGTGAACTTTGAGGGGGGTTTTACTGGAGTGGGCAACAAGGTTAAGGTAAACGTAGTAAACGATAACACCAGAAACATTTTTTTTTGTAAATGAAAGAGCAAGCAATGCTTATGTGCACATATACATACACAATACTAATGATATAAAAAAAAGAAATATTGCAGAAATAGTTATAAGTTGAAAATAAAAATTAAAATCTATACATATATATATATATATATATATATATATACATACATACATACAAATACTTAGACCCACTAAAACTACGTTGACGCAACAAACAACAATGATTATAATTGTTGTTACTATAACGTGAACACCAGTATAAAAAATTATGGAAAAACCATACTAATTAAGAAAAATAAAGAAATAAATACAATACAATACAATGTCAATGTATGCGCGTAAAATATATGTAGAAGACATATTATAATTTAAGAGAAACAAATAACAACAACGTAATTAGCATTGTGTAAAGACTAGAAGCGCTGAAAAGTTACACATAGATTCATTCGTATTAATTTACGAAGCTCCTCCTTTTGCCGGACAAACAAGGAAACAATCTTTTCAATAAAATGGCGTTTGGTTTGGAAAACGCATTCTTTTTTTTCAAAGAAAGATTAAAAATTTCTAAAACGATATGCTTGTAAAAACGCGTTGTTTTCCAGTGTCTATAAATGAATGCATACTGGCGAATTAATTAAACAAAAAAAATATAATTGAAAATAATGTCAATCAATTAGGGCAGCCAATAATATGTTAGAATTATATATGTTTATTACACTAAAAGATAAATTAAGCAAAAAAAAAAAAAAACACAAAATGTATTATTTAAAAAAGATGAATACTGTTTTTTTCCAAGAAACGGAAACCAGTAAAAATAATTATTATTATGACAAGAAAATAAGTATATACATATACACATATATGTATGTTTATGGACATATTAAAATTATGTTGGTAATTTATACTTTACAAAAGTTGAATAGTAACCAGTTACAAATATATATATATATATACATTTAAAAAGAAAAAAGTAAACACCGATCACAACAAATATGTACTAGAGTTACATATATAAAAAACTAACGCAAGTTACATGATCAATAAATAAATAAATAAAAAATTAACATATCTTTAAAACAACTTATGCACACCTTGACAAAACAAAATGTTTTAACAAATCAATATGATTAAGAGAAAGTATGCACTGTTTTAAGTTTAATTAAAAAAAAAATATGTGAGCTCCACAACTACAATATATCCCGAAATAACGGTAATCAGAAAACAAAAAATCATAACCATTGCTATAAACCTAAACACATTACTATATATTTTAATACATTGCAACTTTATATATATTTCATTTGCTTTTTGAAAATAATAATTATGTGTTTTATTTCGTTTTATTTTCTGAAAAAGTATTATTAACTGTTTAGTACATTAGACAGACAGGCGAAGACCAAAGTATAAAAGAATTTTGTTCAATAGAGGTCCCCAAATTATATTTTTCTTCATTGCTTCGATATATTTTTTTTCTCGAGCATAGAACTTTTATTGCTGAAGTCCCTAACTAACTTAGAGTACTCACTGCGCGGTAGCGGTTTAAGAATTTCCTCGCGGTATTCCCTTTCATAAGTGGCGACTAAAATCCCAAAGTTGCTGCGACAGCCTGCTCTTTATGCCAGAACAACACGAGTTTTTATCCAGCCAGAGACTGTCAATTCCGCAACTTTCAAATAATAAAAAAACAACAACAAATCACTGACCATATGGAAACGAAAACGATTTTCCAAAACACTGCATATTTTTAATCCTTAGTATGTACACTTACTTGTGCACGCTAATGATTAAGGGAGATTGATTCGATTTCAATTTCGCTCGAGACCTACATTCTCCTCCCAAAAGTAAGCAATTATTGCTGTAAATTATACTGTTCAAAGGAGTTTTCTATTCAGTTAAGAGTTATAAATACATATACATATATATTTAGATTTTTTATTTTATATATTTTTTTCAATGTTTCTAGAAGACCTAGCCACCCGTAATTGTAGTTTACATATTCTATTGAACTTTAGTAGTATTATTGGTATTATAAGGGAAGAAATAACTAAAGAATTATAAAAAGTATTAATTAAACTTCAATTACACATATATATATATCTGGTCAATTTTCTGGCGAGAAAGGAATTTCCATTAAATCAAGCTATAAATACATTTCTTCTTCTGTAATAACGCCAAAAATATTCTCCAAATTGGGTCTCGGGGTATATTACGAGAGTTACTGTCCTTATCCGGATAAAAATCCGGGTCCTTCTGGCATAAACACCTGACTGCAGCATCAACTATAGGATTTTAGACGGCTCTCACGACAGGCATGCCTTATAACGGTTAAATTCTCGAACCGCTAAGCCGCAAGTAATTTTTCTGGTAAAAAGTTTATCAAATTCGTTAGAGGGGCTTAGAAGGAGTAAATAGGATTGGAAGAAACATTTTTTTGGACAAAGCAGGTATAGTTCGCTGAGTACATTTGATCTTAATTTAAAATAAATCATAAAAAACGATTTATTTAAAAAAAAAATAGTAAAAATAATTATTCTTCAGCAGCGATAAAAGGAAGTTGGTCAATCTCCTCTTCGAAAATGTTTTTAACAAATTTCGTTTTAGTACTTTTATTTAATTAAATTAAGGAACAACTTGTGCGCATGGAAACAGTTAATGTTTGTAAATTTAAATTTTTATTTTAACTTCTTAAATAAATCCGCATGTGCATACATATCGACACATCTTTATATTTTCTCTATTATTTGCTGCTTAAGCAATTGAAGTTTTCAATTAAAAAAAAAAAAAAAAAACACCAATAAATAAGAAATTAACTCAATAATTCATAAGACCCAATATATAACATATTGTAAGCTTTAAATACCTAGTACATATGTACATATGTACGTTTGTATATGCTAAGTAAACTCTTCTAATGTAACCAATTTAAAATGACGAGACTAGTGAAACTAATCCAAACAATTAATTGAAGCAAAAGCGTCATGTTTCCTACAAGTAAATAAAATGCAATAATCACAACCTACATACGTCATACTGAAATTAACGTACATAGTTTATTTACATTAATGCATATATGTACATATATAAAAGTTTGCACGTAACGTAACGTGCGTAAATATGTACTACAGAAGAATTAAAAAATATTTAACATACAAAAATACATACTTACATACATATGCATTATGTAATGTTGAGTCAAAAAAGCATTAACAATAAAAAAAATGGAAAATAAATTAAATCACCAGTGAGAACAGCAGCCATGTTATTGAGAACAATAAGCAAATGAGCAGCAAAATATTAGCATGCCTACATATATACATACAATACCTTAATATTAAACTCATACAACAGCATAATTAAATTGCAGCAAGGAAACATATACATAGATTACTTATATATAAATATATACATACATACATATATATTATATACAAAATAAATTAACAAATATATCTATATCTATATATATAAATATATATATATATACAATTGTATACATAACAGTATATATCGTATAACATATACTTAACATACATAAATACATACTATACATATATGTAGATATATGTACATACATACATATTACTCATATTAATAAGATTGCAACTGAAGTATACAGCAAAATTAATAATATAATTGAAAGAAATCAACGTAGAGTAGATAACAAAGTAACATGATGAAAAAAAACGCAAATACATAACATACATACATACATATACTAAATATAATGTAGTAGCAACGTAGCAGGAACATAGAAAATACCTAATTAAACTGTAATTAACAAGGATGTGGTAGTCCAGCAAACTCAAAGCACATACATATATAGATAACATACACACATACATATGTACATATATGTATGTATTAAAAATATAAAACATTATACAAAAAAAAATCTAAATAACTCAAAGGAACAACTGGAATGTGCGAAAAAAACAGGTTTTAAGATGGAACCAAATTTTTTTTGTTTTTTTTTTTTTTTTTTGGAAAGAAATTGCAAATTGTTCAATACTGATTCAGACGAGGCACGCATGCGTACATGCATACACACACCTATGTATGTTCAAGGATATATGTATAATAGATTCATCCATGAGACCATAGCAAAGTCGATTTTGGAGCAGAAAATGTAGTTATTAATTAAACAGTAATAAATACATACACACATATGTACATCAAGTAATTACACACCCACAAACACACAGAAATGCATATTAGAAGTAGATGCGTAATGGACACAGATTGAATTGGCGAAAAGTTAAACGTAATACACAAGAAAAATAAGCAAGGAAATATTAAATATGTAACGAATAAGAATTTTAGAAAAATGTATTGAAAAACTGTGTTTTATTTTGTTTGTTTAAGAGAAAAAGAAATATTGCCAACACCCAACTCCCTCAGGAGCATTTTATCTTATTCTTATTGATTGGCGTAGGCCAGTCGTTTCAACGCCAAGTAATATCAATGATGACTAGATACGAAACTCTTTATTCCGTGAGAGCGCTCAAAAATCCGCATTTTTTATAACATTTCTGAACAGTGCCACTGTGATATGTATCACGTACAGCTCATTAAGCCATTGTTTGCGGTATTAGCTTTCGCCAATGCGAAAAAGATAACGAAATCAAAATCGAAGCTCCTAGTGCCGACTTCACGCTTCACCATCGTATAGCAAGACTGGTATTACGAGTGATTTGTAGAATTTGGGTTTTGTTCGTCGGAATGTCAATATTATCAACCTACAATAAAAGATTCAGTCTCTGTCAGAATGTTTGTTGTTGTTGTATCGGTTCACTAACTCCTCTTAGGAGAAGGCGAGACAGACGTTGAGATTTTCTCAATGGGACGTTTCGACGGGTTCGAACCAGAAATATCGGGTGATGAGATGAGTTGGTTTCTTGGATTTCGAAAATATCATTCGCGGGAAGAGAGTTCCTAAAGGTTTTTACAGTTTCTCGGCGAATGGCGTTTTTAGCTTGTCGGTAGGTCACCCTGTCTAGCAGTTTTTGAATCGTTGTAGTTGGGTGCTGTCTTCCAGAGGTGCATAGATTGAGGTTCAGCTTCAAACAAATGTCTGTTGGCATGATTTCTGTGCAAACATCCTAGCAGATAGTACTTGGATATCATAACATAATGCTCCATAAATAGCTTGTGTCAATGAAATCAGTGATTTTCCTATCACGATTTTAAGGTCGGTGTACCGATATGCTTGTAGCTTCTAGGTTGTGAGAAACGTTTCTTTGTCATAGAAAACGTGTCCTTCTGTTCTCTCAGGGCGCAGGCGCATAACTGCGATAAGTTGAAGACCATGGCTTTCATGCAATTTGCAAAGAGATTAAGTTAAATTGTTAAAATATTGTAGTAACAGCTATTGGAAATTGATTTTAGCTGGTTAACTCCTGTGCACAGAAATTACCGTATACATTTTTTTGCCATTTCTCAAACGCACAACAAATTTCGTTTGGCTTTTACTCATCTAATTGGGAGTTTAAAATTTAAATACAATAATTTTTCGAAGTGAATCTTTATTTAAAATGTATTGAAGCATTACAAATATAAATACATGCGTTTATATATATATAAAATCTATAAAATTCTTTAGTGCAAGTCAAGTTTTTTTTTACACCAACGAAGAAAATAAATTTTTAATTCAACATAGAAAATACGATAAAAAGGTTGCATATGTATGTTAGTAATGAAGTTCGAAAACACAATTTCAAAGTGAAAAAATTATTAATTTTGCATACTATACATATATTTCTCTCATACAATACAATAGTATCAACTGGAGGTGTTAACATTACACACATTTAAACGTAAATAAAATATTAAATAGATTTTAATGATAAACTGTTAACATAACCGTCGCTGCATACTTATCAAAGCTTATAATTTTTAAATACTTTATTATAATTTCCTAATTGTTGTGAATCTTACTACACCATAAGTATTGTCATCATCTCAATTTTATCGTATGCTTTGTCTGAAAACACTTTGTTTAGCCTTGCTTGCTCCTGCTGTTGCCTTCTTCGCCGCATGTGGATCTGGGGCAAAACAATTCCACAAACGCAATGTTTCATCTGCGCCTGCACTAATTACTGTGCTACCATCTGGTGACATTGCCATTTGTAATACCCGAGAAGTGTGTCCGGTTAATTCCGCCTGTTTTATCATTGAAGGATATTTCCAAATTGTCAGTTGATTATGTGCAAAACCATGAGCAGAAATCAACTCTTTATAATTACGAGACCATAAAAGTGCACACACTTGTGATTTAGTGTCAACTGAATTGACTAGAGAACCATTACTAACATTCCAGAATTTAATACAACGGTCAGCAGTCCCGCCGCCACTGGCCAAAAGGTTTGGCTGCCATGGACACCATGCCAGTGCACGCACCGCCGCTTGATGTTCATTGAGCACGTGTAAAGGTTCGGTAGCGCTCCCTGTGCCTCCACTTACAGCTGACCACACGTTTACCAAGTTATCATTGCCACCACTGGCAAGATGTTTAAAATCCGTCGACCATTTGAGACCGCACACTTCTTGTGTGTGCCCGTTGAGTGTAGCGACCTTGTGTTCACGTGCCCGTACGTCGTGATGTACGATACTTCCATCACGACTTCCTGATGAGACCAAAAATGAATTCCACGCTAAAGTACCTACTCTTGCCGAGTGGCCGTCCATTACACGTAGACGTTTAATTTTCGAACAATCCCATAACTCTACAGCACCAGTATTATTTCCTATTGCCAATATCTGACCATCTTGGATCCAGGATAGGGCACATGCATGATCACCTTCTTCATATTCCACCAGTTGTTCTATATTGCCTGTTGCTGCATTCCATAAATAGACGGCATTACCTAAAGCAACTGTTACAATGTTGTCGGCACTCCAATCCATTAAATTCAAGTAGTAGTCGTTTATTATATCAGGCGCATCAAGTATACGATCTGATGTTGTTGGTATGTAACGAGAACCACTTTTAGTCGATAAAGGTGTGTTTATTGAATAAACAACCTTCAAGGGATTTTGATGAGATTCTGGCGCAGCAGGTGCTTTATTTTGGTAGCATAAAATTCTTGCGCTTTTCGGGTCACCAACTTGTAGTGAATCAGATATAAGCTTTTGACGTTCCACCTTTGATGGGGACTTTTTGTTAGCGTTATTGCTATTGTCATTATCATCATTTTCGGATTTTTCCTGTTCTTGTTTGATCTGCGGAGAAAATAAAATATTTACACAAATATATTTGATGTTATAAGAATACTGAGTTTTTTCAACCTACGAGATAATGGCCTAGTTCGAAATTGCTTGTGCCACGATTTGGAATGAAGCGATCACCACCACTCGGAGTCTTCGCTCCTTTACTGGGTGTTGGTGTTTTCTTACATTTCGCATCACCACCAACTTTTCTTGGCGTCTTCATAGGAGGGTTCACACCAGAAAAACTGCTATTATATGACATGGACAACACCGATCGAGATGCATTTATGCTTCCGTTAAGGCTGTTAGCCATGGCAGAGGCTTCCAATTTTTTTTGCCACCTGGGTACAGGTCCCCGTGAGATTTCACCATCCAATGTTAATGCACTGGTCATTTCATTCAAAAAATTGAATTGAGACATTTTTCTATGACTCTTTTTTATTTTTATAACATAAATTAGTAATATTTATATGCTAACTTTTATCCTTTGTGTAATTTTTATCCTTAGCAAATGGCGGTTGCAGGAGAAATTGAAATTTGCGCCTATAATCAAAAAATTTGGAATGGGCAACGTTGCCAAATATGCAAAATAGGCGTTGCCAAAGTTTGAAGGCAATACGAAAACTGTTAGGGTGATATCAGATATAAGTAATCTGCGATCAGAATGAAAGGTTGTCTTCGGCAATTGGAATAAATGCATGTAACCTCGCGACATTTTCTACATAAGATACGCTAAGCTTTAAACTCTTATGATTATTATTATAATAAAATATTTTAATAATACAATAATTTTAAGATACATACGTGCTGAAGCCTCGGTTTGAAATACTAGTGATATATCTATTTTCTACGCCCACAAGGAGAAATTTTCTTTGATTGAAAAGTTTTTCAAATTGGCAAAACTCTAAAGGTCAGGTAAACGTCCCGAACCTAGCATGATGAATGATTTTCTTCAGATGAAAGAAGAAGATTTGAATGAATGGTATACTTTTAGATAGTAAAGATGAATAAAAAACGAAATACAGATTTTTTATAACACGTGTTGAAAGTTCATTTTGTTTTCTTTTTTAATTTTAGCAAGCTTGGTAGGATTTTGTTCAGTAAACAAACGCCTGAATACGTTTCCAATTGGAAAAAGTAGCCTAATGAAAACTAAAAAAACTTCTAACTTTAAAAAAACTTTATTAAAATATCATCTTTGAAGATTTCAGTTGATAGCATGCGAGAATTAAAAGGCCGCGTGATAGTCAAGAAATCGTAAGCTTTGTAATGTCCGCGATATTTGTCACTTGGCATCTCTTTTAATCAGCTGTCTAGTTACAGTGTGTTCTTTTCATTGTTATTTAACACTTAAGTTGTACTTGTAATCCTATTGCCGGCTCTATTTATAAATGAATTTCTTTACTACAGTTCATGGAAAATCGGCCGTGGAGCCTCCAATTGAGGTCACAGTAGAAGCACTGCCAAAAGAGCAAGTTAATGGAAACGTCGACAATAATAAACCACCTTCAAAAGAATGGGGTTATGATTTATATCCCGAACGAAGAGGAGAGACTTACAAACCTAAATGGTCAAAGATATTGTTGGGTATGGAGGGTCGGGAAAATATCGACAAAGTAAAATGTGAACGAAACGTTTATTGGTGTGTTAAAAATAGTCCTCTGGTCAAACTAATGATGGGAGCATTACGCAGCTCAGGTTGTCCAATAGATCTGCGTCGTCACATATCTTGTGAAGTGTGTGATACTACTGTAACTGGCGGGTATGATCCGGTAATGAATCAAATAGTTGTATGCCAAAATATGGCACGCAACGAAGGCATGGTTCAGGGTGTGCTAACACATGAAATGATACATATGTTCGATTACTGCAATAATGATTTAGATTTCCGAAATATCGACCATTTGGCATGTACCGAAATAAGAGCAGCAAATTTGGCACATTGTTCATTTCTGAGCGCAATGATGCAAGGAGATGCTTCTATATTTGACATAAAACAAGCTCATCAGGTTAGTTAATAATAATGAATCAAATAATATATACAAACATCACTTTATTTGTTCTAGAACTGTGTGAAAACAAAGGCGTTACAATCGGTATTAGCGGTACGCAATGTTACCAAAACCGAGGCCATAGAAGCTGTGGAGCGGGTTTTTCCAAAGTGCTACGCGGATTTAGAGCCAATTGGTAGACGCATTCGTCGGAATTCTCCCGATCAACATAGAGCATATATGGAAGGTCCAATGTATGGCTATGATGTATAGCAGGCATTACAAGCACTGTTTGTGCATATTTATGTACATTGTACAATAAAGGTTTTAGGCTTTTGGCACCAAATGTTTAATATTTCTAGTTTTTATAAAAAAACCTTGAAATGAGCAAATTGAATTAGTTATATTTAGTGCTTTTGTTAATATTTGAAGCAATTAAGATAATGTAAATTGTTTATAATCAAAAGTTCGTTAATTTTAATTTTTAAATTTAAGCACTGATAGTTAAATTAAATAATCAATATATTAGATATGATTTAAACTTGTTTCCGTGACTATAAAATGAGGATGGACTCTTGAAGCTTCAGTGCACTAAACATAATGGAAGATTGCGAATTTTTGGGGCTAATTTTCAATTTCATAACTGGCATGATTTTTCCAGAGAGTAAGTATAGTGCAAAAATTTAAAAATATTTCCTTAAGTTTTATTAAGTAAACAGTGAAATAATATTTTGCAGAAATGGAGGCTACAGAAGATACATAACATATTTATATGTATAATTTATTCATACATATTATATAATATTATTTATTTAGATTATCGATTGGTAAGGTAATTAATAGTTTATATAAATAACATAGTTTGGATATACATACATAGTTGTTGTTGACCAAACTAAATCGATTTTTTAGTTTTGGTTTGAAATTGGACGTAGTAGGTAGATTATCGGAAAATACGTACCTATGCAATTAACTCTTCAGTTAATATTCATTGTATCATGTTTTTCGATTTATTACAAATGATTTTTGATTTTGTAATGGGCTTATTGCCATTTGGTGAGCAGTTTTTTAAATTTATTTTTATGTAACTAGTAGAAAATAATAATTTTTTATTTAAGGTGGTAGCGATGATGGTGACGATTCAGAGGAATCCTAGTCCACCTAGAGCAATATAATTTAATATGAGTAAGTGTACTTTGACTCATTCATCAAAATCAAAATCATATACAATGCTTACCATACTTACTAGTAAATGTAATGTGAAGCGTCCAATTTGAATAATTGTGGCTATTATAATAAAATAATTACATGGCTCATTGAATTTGATTCATTGAAGTTCGTAATAGTATATACATTTTTAGTAAAAGTAAAACATTTTGTAATGACAATCAGTAAACAGTATTCGTAGTTTCCCAAAGATACATAGAGCATTTTATATTATTCAAATATGTTTTTTGATCTTTTGGGTGGTTTATTCGACTTTTTAGTGGGATTATTCTTTCCAAGTAATAATAAATTTAAAGTTGTTTGTTTTTGTTGTTACATTCTTTATTTTCTTTTTTTTATTTAACTAATTTCCAGCTTCCGGAGATGAACCTGATTCAGAGGAAGTAGAAACAGTTGATGTAACAACAGAAGCTGAGGCAGAAATCTTAACGTGATGAGTTATATTTTACAATATATGTATAAGTAAATATAAGTATTTTACTTATTTTTGTTATTTTCCTTCTATATTTCAATATTTTTGTTTCATGGCATCATGAAATCAATAAAATCATTATGTTGAATAAAAAAATTCAAATGGGTTATTTAAATTGGGGATCAATCAGAAGGTGACTAAAAATCTCTTCTGATGATGACGCCTTAAACGCGGGGCACCCTCAAGCCTCCATCTTCTTTAACTGGCTTACACTAGTCTACACATTTTGGTAATTTGTAAGGAGCGTTTGCATTACTTTATATATTGACAAAAATTTTGATTGGTATTTCCTCTAAGTGCTGCTGGCAATCCATTTGAAGATTGTGTGAAAATAATCTCTCTCATTTGTATATGAGTTAAGATTGTCGGTCGACACTCCCAGTAGCAACTTAGCAACAGCTAACCGTCGAAATTTTAAATTAGTTTTCTTTGTTATTGAGTCATACTCGGCACTACTTGTTCAAAGTGAGGAGTGAGGCGTGTGTCTAGTTGATCTTTGATATTTCTCTAACCACACAAAACTTGTCGAAATCATCTAGGTTTTGATTAGGAATGAGTCCCTAATTGTATTACATCCCTTCAGTAGTGGAGAAATAAAATAGGTATTTGGATTAAATATTTCAAAAAACATATTTATTTCATTTAAAAACATACATTTGCACCATTTAGGTATGTATATATGTAGGTATGTATGTAATAATTCAGCACTACAAAAATTCAATTTGTAAACAGATACAGTTAAAAATAATTCTGTAATGTGTATTACAACATAGTATGTGTACGCACATATTTATATTTAACATTTTCAATCCCTTTTTTCATCATTTATCCCACAACAAAGAATATAAATGTTTAAAATAATTTATATTTCTTTTTTAATTCCTGTTTCTTCCACACGGGTAGCTCATCAAATTCCCAAAAAGACATATTAAAGAGAGAGACGAAGTCATCGTGTGTTAAGTGGACCTGAAACATTGAAAAGTAAAAATTTATGATAAATAACTTCTGGGTGTCTGAAATAAATAACGGTTTTTAGAAAATTTCAATTTTATAACCTATTTTAGTAAACAAACATTTTTTTTTCATAAATTTATACAAATTTAGCAAACTTCGCCACTTCACATTTTCATGCCTTTAGATTCAGTCCATAGTGATAAGAACTTGAAATCCGTAGGAAGCGGTATGGTATTAGTCGATTGGCTTTTCGGCGCAAAAACAAATAACAGAGGCGGGCTGCCAACAAGCGAGCCTGCACCGAAGACTGATCTTCAAAATTCATGGGCACATCCCTTTCATTTTCTTATGTGCGCGTTGTCATTAAATAGAACGAATTAGTCAAATAAAGAACGCCCGTAAGAAAAGTTTAAGTAAACCGAACCATAAATACGAGATCGTCGAATTGATCGGTGTCAGAACTACTATTTTAAAAACATTCTATGCTTGAACGATAACTAACATAAGTAAGATTTTTTTGTAACAATCGATCACTGGTTCACTTTCCAGAATAATGTTACATTTTCTTTTGTAAAAACCGTGTCTACTTAATACGAATAACTGGAAAACAATTTAACCAAATCGATCCAGCCGTCCACAATTAAGGAAAAACTATAGTTACTCTCTAGTTATCGATTTTTATATTTTAATATTATGTCTATTTTAAAAATTATCAGTAATTTTTAATTATTAAAATCTAAAAAAAAATTATCGAAAATTTTGAAATAAATTTTTTAATAAATGTTTTCGCTTCCTGTACCTTACCAATTTAAATTTGTCTTGTAAAGAGTGGTCAACTAAAAATACCTTATATGTAGCCGCTACTAAAACCTGTTAATAAAGGATAAAGGAAAATCATATCGGCAGATATCTATCATTTGCCCAGTAGCGAAACCTATTGAGGTCTTGCACGTATTTTACTTGCGAACTGAATATAGTACACAACACCCAAACTCCATTCAACGAAATAAACATCCAGATGTTCCACGGCCTTATGCCAAATCGGCTCTTCCCACAGCTGGTAGCACTGGATATGTTAAAAGCATTTCACATGGTCAATCACGCAAAGCTACTACAACCGACGTTGAAGATGTGAACAACCTGAAACCTGACTAATCGATAGTCATGGGCAGAGTTTTGAGCTTAAAATTCAAACCTCCGAAAAATAAGCAAGGATGGTGTCCTCTTCTCGCTATTGATTAATATATATTTTGAGGCTCCCTCTATCACCAAAGGGCGTTTCATTACCAAGGCTCTTACGAAAACTGACTCAAAGTTACTGAAAGCCACTTTTACAGCCTGCATTTGGGATAAAGATAAAAAACGTTGATTGCAATCTACAAGGCGATCGGCCGGTCTTTAATTACAGCATTCGCGAGGCTCAAAAGAAGAAGCTAAAAGTCGGACGAACCACCGTCTTGACTATCATAACGGGAAACCTACTGAAACCTTTGATGCCCCAAATGCACTACAAAACATCTCTGCTCCCAGTTAAAGGAGCTTTTGCTGATCTAAGCAATATCTGCTTGGACATTACTGAAAGGGAGTAACCAAAGAACTCCATTCACCACCAATATCAAACGATAAAAATAATGCGAGTTGCAGAGCTGAATAGAGAACGTGCACTATTCTATAAGAGTGTACAGCTGCTGTCGTACGATATCGACATTATTGGTCTCAACAACCGCGCTCTGAGTTCTGCTTTCTCCAGACTGGATAAGGAAGCGAAAGATATGGGCCTGGTTGTGAACGAAGACCCCCACATCATATTTGACAGTCATAACTTGCAAGTCGTAGATAACCAACTCAGCCAGGAAATCCAGCGCAGAACCACTCTTGCCAACAGGTGCTCCTTTTGAGAAGGCAATTGAAAAGTAAAGTCTTCTCTCGACAAACAAAGACATAGTTCAGCGAATCAGAAAACAGCGGGTACGCTTGCTAGGTTATGTGGTCAGAATGGATAAGAATACTTCAGTTTTGAAAGTTTTCGACACAGCACCCGCATTTGGAAGCGAGGAAAGAGAGGCCTCCATTCCGTTGGAATCGGCTATAATCGCGTAAACGGTGTCTATGCCAGTAAAAAAGAAAAAAAGATATCCGGCAAGTGGGTATAGGGAATGAGAAGTAGAAAATTTTTTGTGAAGTTTAAGAAATTTTGGTTTAGAGGATAAATTACACACAAAAACTATGTACCTCACGCTTCAGCGGATTCACCTCCGGAGGCAACAAGTCGATTTCCTGCTGTAGCGTAGCTATCGGATACTTATGATGCAAGTCAAAGTCTTTCTGATGATTCTTCAGTACTGGTATAATTCCGTTACCGTTCATGCCATTTGTAAGTGTTCCATTTATGTTTGGTGTATTTTCATGTTTCAAAAAAGCCTGTCGCTTCAGTTCATAACTTATGTAGTTCTGGAATTAGTTCAATTCTCTAAGCATGTACATCTTTGATATTAAAAAAAAAACTCACATTCCAAAGGTTATGATCCCAATTCTCAAACAAACCCTTAAATGTATTTGGTTCGTAGTGTTGACGAATCACAGCTACTGCTGTGGTGGCTCGGCGTGCTATCGGCACCGACTCAAGATACTGCTGGGCTATTTTCATATACTTGTCCTTCTCATGAGTGGATGACTGTTTGCCAATCCAAAGATATGCAAGTGAGCCCGTGTCTAGCACATACATAGATTCGGACGAGAGATCAGTTTGTTCATAGCCAATGACTTCCTGCATATGGAATTTGCCGCGTTGCAACCAGATCAAAAATAATTGTGGTTGTAGGCGTAATTTTGTCACATTGTTATTGTTATTACTTATGTAGGTGCCATTTTGAGGGGAAGAACAACTGCCATTAGAGCTATTCGAGCCATTGGAAGTGTTGTTACAATTGATAAGCGGCTGGGACATGTACACATTGACTGAACGCCAAAATTCCCGGGGCTCCTTGCCCTCGACTACCAGTGAGCATTCGCCTAGTAGAGTGCCAATATTTTTTGCCATTTCACGTGCATCACCCGTCGAACTCTGGCCACACCATACCCATACATGACTTGTCTTCACCACATAACACTCCTTAGAATTCATTGTATTCAAGGGATAAACTTCTACTGCTTTTGAATTATAACTGGTATCACCATAGATGCGCAACACAAAGTAATCTCTATTCATTAGCGACAATTCGTTGTTGTTGTAGATTATATTATTATTATGATGGGAAATGGTCCTATCACTTTGTAGTATGATAAGTTTGCCATCGAAAATTTGTAAAAAATGTGGTGTCTCATCACATTCGCACATTTGTACAAACATAGCTTTTTGGGAAAGTTTTTCGAATGCGCTTAAAGCAACACGTTCACAGTTGGCTACGTCATCAGCATTGGCTTCGGATCCATTCCATTGATAGATGATCGTGCTGACGCCCACATTCTGTGCATCGGTGGGATTTGTTGTTGGTAGCTGAGGAAATTTAAATTAGTTTCATGATTTCTAGTCAACTAGACTGGTGACATACTCACCATCACTGTGTACTCAATCATATAACATTGATCTGTTATGAATATAACGGCTTTCGATTGTGATTTTTCGATAATTTTATCTTTGGTTACATGATAGATTTTCCGTTCACCAATACCATCGTCGATTAGTTGCGTATCGGCAGCCATTTTCGGTCTTTGGCTCAGCGTGAGAGCGTCGAAGCGCTTGAATATTGTCGAGACAGGTTTTATAGACTCTGTGGCATCTGTTTGCCAACTCGGAAACAGACGTATGAATTCAATCGGCTCATGGCCTTGCACAACTCGGATAACAGGTGTTGAGTATGGATACTTTTTCTGAAAGTAAAGTAAGAAAAATGGTTATCAATTAATCTTTTTGGGAATAACTACCACCAGATACCACGTTGAAATTTACGCTGAGACTGATCGATCTAGACGAGACACGAAATATAGTAGCCCTCCAGATACCGGCACAAGTCCATCTGGCTGTGTCCGGGTGGAAAATTTTGTAGCCAAATCGAGCATATTGAGATAAATTAAAAACCTGTTTTCACCGTTCTGCATACTCTTTCTGGGATTACCTACATTCCAGACTTACAACTTAACTCACCTTTTTAACAAATGCACGCCCATTGCCCATGGCGCTAATTTTATCCTGATGCGGTGCCATATTGCCAACCCACAACCAAACTCCATGCAAGTAGCCATCCAAAACATATGCAGTGCTCGTGTCTGTCAGATCTTCTTGCGTTGGTATAACTACATCTAATTGATCCAAATGTAAACGCGTACCACGGTAGCCGCATTTATAAATCTTCATCTTATTGTTAGGATGCTTCTCGGGTATTGCTGATATTTGACTGACGACTCGTTGACTAAGCGGTAAAAAGGAATTCCATTGATTTTTCATCTTCTCTGGCAACGATTGTTCGTAGCCATCATCTACAATAGTTACATTAGCTGTGTTGACGCCCAGCTTTGTGACCCAATCTAGGGCACTACGTCGCTCGGCTGTACTACTAGAACGACCAATCCAAACGAAGGTATTCGTTTCTGTCTTTAGCAACATTATATAGTCGGAACCAAAGTAATCCCATGATATACTGTCCACTTCAATACAACGCAGCCATTTGCGACCGTGCAATTGGTAAAGACGATCGATACTCTTCGAACCGTTCAGATTGCTTGAAAGAATGCTAAAATAATAAAATTAAATACGAAATTATAGTGAGATTTTCAAATTACAACAAAAAAGTTTTTGACTTACGTAAAACCATTTTTAAAGTAGGACAGAAAGCGTGCACTCTCGTTACCCTGTGTCTCTCGATATTCGGTAGCAATATTATTAAAGTAGGAGTCCAGCTCTTGAATTTTATGAGCCACATTGGAACGCTTCTGTTCAGACACCTTCTCACCTAACCAGAAGTGAATGAAACGTTCTAGATAAGTGCCGGGCTTGGTATCACGAGTCTATATATGCAGATACGGAATAGCAAAAAATGTCAATATGATATTTGAGAGATTTGGGCTTATGATCATTTCTTAACTTACTATAGTATCCTGGTTAATGTAGGTACCCTTTGGCCCAGCTGCGTAAATAATATAAGCACAGTCGTCAATAAAATTGCCATATTGATTTTTCGGCTCGGCCTCCAATCGATCCTCTTCTATTTTCCAAATATGAAAACAAATTGCATTTTTGGCTATTTTTCGAAAAGATGCATCCACTTTTAAATCAGATATGGAGTTCGAACAGACTTCCTGAGGATTAAAAATAAATAGTTTTTTTTTTATTTACAATTATAATTTACATCAAAAAATAATAATTAAAAACATGCAATCAAAAAAATTTCTTATATAAAAATTTGATTCTATAGAGAATATTTCGCGATCAGTCTCAAACGGATATAGATCATCAGCAGTTTATTTGAAAATAAAACAACTTAGGGACTTAGACGAATTCGGTACCCCCATTTTGTTGGTTATAATAAGTCGCTGCTTAGAAGGTGTCCAAAAAAAAGGAAACGTTTCTGTTCATAAAAGGGATGCAAAGCGACGTTAGGCGTATATTTCTTTATCACTCAGCTCAAGCAAGAAGCTTATATCCACACAACTACATACTCGTATAATGCAACCATATTCAGTCTAGTCAAATGTAATAAATTTATTTTTGCAACAGAAGGCTTTAGTCTGCAGTATCTCGCATTCTATAAGTGCGATCGAACTATGCTGCTGGCGTTAGAAAGCCGATATTTTGTACTAAAAAAGTTAACGAGAGAAATGTTGATCACTTAACTAAGTAGTGTTTGAATGTGTGTCAAAGATGGGAACCAGAAAAGGGAAAATACGCTATATTCTATAGCTGATACTGTAACTGTCAATTCGTCTATTTCGTTCCGATAATTTCGATCCAAAAGATGCTTTGTGGAAGCCTAATTTTTGATAATGTCGACAATATAATGGAAATCGTGTACTCTGGCCATCATGCGAGCACGGTTCCGATTACACAGGAGCTAAACATGATCAGTCGTGACAAAATCCACCCATTATTTTAGCGCATGTTGGCTGGTGATGAAAAGTGAATCATTTGCAGTGAATACAGTGAGCCGGAACAAATGGTCTCTAAGCCCGGATTGGCGGGCAGGAACGGTTTGTTGGGTGTTTGGTCGGATCGACGAAGAATGATCCGCTATGAGCTGCTCCCCAACGGTCCAACTTTAAATTCAGACCTGTACTGTCAGCAATTGGGCGTCCAGTTTTGTCCAGTTTGAAGTTAATTGTGTTTGATCAGGATAACGCCAGACCACACATAACGATTGTGACTAGCCAGAAGCTCCGAGGGTTTGGTTCTAGTTCATCGTGCTTATAGTCCGGACCTCGAACCAAGTGATTACCATCTATTCCCCTCTATGACGAATGATTTATCTGGTAAAGAATTGGCCCCAAGGGCATACTGTGAAAATCACTTGTTCCAGTTTTTTGCCAATAGGTTCGAGGGCTTCTTTGAGAGAGACAATGTTCGCTTTAATGATTCTTTTCTCTATTATGGGATTTTATTTTCTAAAATTTTGTATGCAGATCTATCCAGAATTCGAACCTATAACCCACTGTATGACATCATACACTACTAACAACTCGGTTACTCATCTGCGACCGCTAATGTTCATTATTTTAAAATCTGAAAGGACCAGTTCTAGATTTCCGAGCCAGGCAAAAATTATATTATAATTATTAAAATTATATTAAAATAACGGACTCGGTTGACATCGTCTCGCTCCGATTCCAGAATTATAAATAAACATGGATAGTTCGAACTCGAAAGCCATTATTTTAATGTAACCGAAATCAGTGGGGAACTTTGAAGTCGTAGGTAATTTCGTTTATCTAGGAACTGGCATTAACACTAATAATAACGTCAGCCTTGAAATCCAGCGCAGAATCACTCTTGCCAACAGGTACTGCTTTGGCAGAGTCGGCAATTGCATCTGATGAGACGGCGTTAGGAGTTCTCGAGAGAAAAGTTTTGAGTAAGATTTATGGTCTGTGCCAGTGAAGTAAGTAAGTTAGAAATCAGTGAGGAGCTATATGACAAATAGTGCTTTTCGATTAGGTTATGGGTGCAATAACAAATAACATAGAAGGATTTCCCAAGTGGCGAACAGGCGACTTACAATATGCGTGTGAAAAACCTTCCCCATTTTCTTTTTTGCAATTCTCCTTATTTTTATTATCACTGACACTCCGCACGTCGTTCAGGGTTTTGTCGCCTAATAGGTGGCATTATTCTTCTAGCTAAATAGGGTGCACTATGGTAAGATATTGTACCTCACCTATTAAGCTCTGCAGCTTTTCGTATTTTCTTCCGCTTTAAGCTAAAGAAGTGACCCGATAGGGAGACCTTGGTTGGTACAGAACTCCTAAATCTTAATGCGCTTCTAGTATTGTCAAGCATCTACGCCGCTATGTAGAGGCAGTGCCTTTCCGTGCTGGTGAGTTCAGTGAAAACTGGGACCTTGCTGGTCCCAAATTGGTTCCCGCCGATTAGTTTCTCTTCAAGCGGGAAATCACTACTCTAAACCTTGAATCGTTTACAGGGGTCTTTCATCCAAGGCTTGCAGTTGCAGTTTTCTGCGGTATGGGTCTAATCCAATGCACAACCATAGAGGTTTCGCTTTCTTCCTCAAGCTCACAGCCAATGGATTTCTATTCGACGCAGAAGATACTTGGTGAAAAACCGGAAGTCATTACCATATGTAAAATAATCAGTTCTGGCCACATCATCAGCAAGTGATTGCTAATGCGTGCTGCCATTCTGAAGCTCGTGGCTTCGAGTCCTGGTTCGATCAATATTCAAAATTACAGAAAATCAATATCCAAAATTACAGAGAATGTCAACCCCTCCGTATGTATTCCTGACATGAAACAAAATTCTTTTGATAAAAATCTGTTCGGAGGCGGTTTAGAATGCAAATTGTAGGAGTAGTTTGGCCGAAAACCGTTTCGGAAATTGCAAAGTGCCAATTATACATACGTATATACTATATTTGATTGGTTCTTCAGATGACCGAAAGAGCTTCTTTACAAAAATTACCTTTTCCTACTAATTTAATTTGAGGCTTATGCAAAATAAAATAGAAAAAAAGAAAAAAAAACGATTTATTTTTCTAGCTCTCTGGAAATTTTTGAATACAAGTTAAAAAAAAATAAACTGAGCCTTCTCTTTTGTCGATCCAAACAAGGTCTGGAAAATATGGCGGGTGGGATAACACCGCCATTTCAGCGTTTCTAGGTAGTTTTTGAACATTACATCCACATGAGGCCGAGGCGTTGTCATGCTGTAAAATCCCCTTTTGATCGCTTCTGGTCGTTTTTCACGCAATACATGACTCAAACGAATTTGTTATGGAAGATAACGTCTGGCAATAATGGTTTTGTCTTCTTGATCCAATAAAGTTTCAACTCCTCATATTCAAACTTTTTGGGATCGCCAGGACACTTTTCATCTTTGACGCCAAAATCATCACTCTCTGTATGACTTATCGATCGAAACGAATTCATCGTAAACAAGCATTCGATGGGCTTTAGCTGTACTTTTCTGGCAATTAAAATATAAAACCACACATATTTTTGAAGAGGCAAAAACTTCAATGTTCTTGCCAGAAACATACTCTCATGCACACTAATTATTAGTGGAATAGGTAATCGCTGTCAAGATTGACCACAACTTGCTGGTGCAACCATTTTTTAAGAACGAACCGAATTAATTTGTACCCTCCCCCATATCTTATGATCTTCTGTAGGCATCCCTCGGATATATATTAGTATAATCGAGTAATAATTACACCTAGATTCTATTCTATATTCGCTTTCATACTTCTAGTTAACTTAAGGGGTTAAATAGGTCTTGAAGGCCAAGAAAAGCTTATTTTCTCTAATTTTTTAAAAGATGCAATCTATTTTGTTTACATATAAAAGTATAATATGTGGACAACATTTGATGAAAAGTTGAAAGAAAAATAGTAAAATTTAAGGCGTTGGAAAAGAAAGTGCTTTCGCGGTAGTCATGATAACTTTTTCAATTTTTATCTGAAATAAAAATCCAAAGTTTTTTTTAAAGTAGGTGAATTTTCTTTGTCTCTGAAAGAAGAAAAATTAAAAAAATTAAAAATTGAATTTTTTGTAGGCCACATATTGGCTTGTAAATTGAGTTGAAATCAAAAGTAAAATAAATCCTTCGTTCAGGGCCTACAAAAACATTCTTAAAAGAAGTGTGGAAAATTTGAACCCGATCGCTTCAATAGTCGTTGAGAAATTTTGTCTACTGATTTCATTAAATGGTTTTAATAAAAACCCGTTTAAAGTTTCGCCATCGGTCAAGCCATGACAAAGACGGCGGGTTATAAAACTCCTTAACTTCTACAGTTTCGTCTCGATCGACTTGAAACTTGGAGAAAATATTCCTAACACTTTGTACTTTTATACAAAAAATTATCAAATATCAAAATGATTTTTTTTTTAAGTTTCAAGACCTATGTAACCCCTTAACATTGAATATCTGGCGAATTAAATGCTCAAATTCCATCTTAAAAAGTTAAAACTGACAAATGTAGCACATTAACCTTATTCCTTATTCCTTACAGTATTCGGGTCCCCCCTGAACACATTGTAATTTCAAATTTTATTAAGTAATAAATGAATATAAAAATTTAAGCATTTAATCCAGAGTCATAACTGGTATAAGAAATATGTAAAAATATTTGGCGGTAATTATTATAATTATTCAGTTTTAAGTAATGATTATTTTCGATTTTTATTTTTTACATTGCGTCTTAACAGTTTTTTCTCATTGCCCATTGTAGTTCAGTTCATAATTAATTTATGTTCCTTTGCGCATTGATTCAATTGCGTTTTGATAAATTTAAATTAAAATATTAAATTTGTGTTCCTACGAAAATACAACGCGTTTCTTATAACTCGGCACCACTCTACAGAGCTGAAGGGGTATTATTACTATGTTTTATCCGTATGACAAAGGTTTTTGAAACTCTTTCTTTAACAATGGTTTACAATAAAATTGAGGTAAGAAAACGTAAGCAAACTCCTTTCAGGAAAACAAAATTAAATTTAAAAAAAAATTAAATTTAAATATATAATAAAAACACAAATATCTATCAATAAAATAAATGTTCAACAGAAAAAAAAATGATTAAAAATAAGACTTATGAAGAAACATAAAAAGTATTTCTCAAACTAAGGGCAACGTTTTCGATCACGAAAAAAATAATAACATTTATTTTTGATCTCTGATTTAAACTTTAAAATCAAATATGAGTAGGATCTAAATCCATTGTCTTTCTCCAGTCTGACTCACATAAATGTGTTGGTATGTGTATGTAAGCGTATAATTATATGTCAACAAGTACATAAAGAGGACATAATTGCCTTGGAAAAAATAGAAAAGTTGAATACAGTTGCTTAAAACTGGATGTGATTGTAAATGAACCGTTAAATTTTGTATTTACACTTGTGAACATTGACAGATATGGATCAATAGGATGGACAAGCGACAGGTGAGCGTAAATAGGAGATCTATTTACTGGCTCAACGACAGTCTGAATTGATATAGTGAAGTGAAGGAAAAAAAAAATTAAACCAGTTTTTATTTTCTTTTGCTTCATTGCAATTTAAAACAATGCCAAAAAAACTAGATGTTTAGTGAATTTCGCTGTACTAACGGCACGTCGTCAATTCAATGTCGAAGACTTGTTCTACCACACTTTATAGACAGTGAATACATACATACATAAGTATGTACGTGTATGCAAGTAGAGTATAGGTGCACACCATTGTCAAGAGATAATTACCATGTCTTTCGACGATATTTCCATCACCTGCATTGCACGGCACGATTGCACTTCTTTTGATTTTCAAACGAATAAAAAGTTTTGTTGCCCGCTTGCTGGCAACAGCTAAAAGTTGCTTATCACAACAGCCTTGAACTAATTCGCGAATGTGAAGCGTGTATAGCCTGTGGCAAGTGTGGCAAGTGGTCCGCAATTGAGTTCAAGCGTAGTTATTGTAAAATTACCGTTGTTGCGACGTGCGTTTGTGTGTGTTTTGTGCGGTGGCTTGCGTATCTACATTAAGCTTGTGTCCGAACTAGTTTGGTGCGCCTATGAGTGGCCGGCGAATACCAGTGTACGATGGATGTATGTGTCGTTCTACGTTGTTGTAAACAAAACTATTTTCTTTAGTTGTTGATTTTTTCTTTTAATTTAATTTATTATTTCTTTCTCTTGTTTTCTCGCGTACGTGTGAAAGTGAAAATCCTTTCGAATCACGACGTTGCACAGCTGAGCAATAATATAATTTTCGATACAACACAAACTTCGGCAAATCGTTGTAATTTGATATTTAATAGTTTTTTTAAATATACTTTTTCAATTTTTTATATTTTATTTTACAACAGAATGTTGACATTGAAAATTTTGAATGTGGTATAAAATGAAAAAAAAAGGAACAGTTAAACTTCAAATATTTTTGGGACACAGAACGCAGTTTAATAACACTATTCAATTCATATTTCCATTAACAATTATTTTATTTAATAAATTTTTTTCTAATATTTAAATTTTATTTTTTATTTGCATTTTACCACTCTCCCATCACTTTACATTTTCCTTCACATTCATAAAATAATTACGCTGCACCTCGGTTTGTGTAAAATTTTTTCACTTTACATAAGTATTATTTGAAAATATGTATATTTTTTCTTTCTATTTGTAAAGAACGAAAGCGCGAAAGTTGCAACCGTCAAGCGCGTTTCAATCTCAAATGCAGACTGTCTTCAGCAAAGCGTTAGCAACGTGTATATTACTAGTAACCACCAGAGCCTACGCTGGTAATAAAGCTATGAATGTGTATGTATGAATGTATGTACAATCGGTTGCCGCTACTTCTGCTTACTAACTTACTAATACACAACAACCTGAACCTGATGGGGTCTCACAAACCGCTGAATGAAATAATCAGTTGACGGTGCGGAAAATAAACATACGTACATATGTACATAGATACATAGTTATATACTACAGAGTTTGGTGAAATGCGGGAAAATGCGGTAGCATGTATATATATATGTACCTGGAAAGTCTGTAAGCGCATTGCGCAGAGCAACTTAATACATATGTGTATATATAAATATATACATACATATATGCTTATTAGAGATGTATGAATCATAGGTACTTATTGCGGCACAGTGTCAATATAAGGTCACAGGTCTCAAAAAATTTGTCCATCGATTGTATAAAAAATTTAAATCATTTCATTCTCTAAATAACAAAAGCTCATTCTTTCAAAAAGTATTCAAAACTATGATTTTCTTTCCAAAAAAAAACAAAAAAAAAAAACAGGTCAAATTTTCTTCATGGTTTGGAACTTTACTAGATAGACCCTTAAATTAAAGAAATACTTTTAGCAATAGCTGGGTGAAACTTTCGTTTTTCTTATTACACAAATTTTTAAACGATCATTTATATAAAATATTCGCATGTTTTCCGACCATTGACATCATTCCTATTTATGGTTTTGCATCTTGATGTTTTTCCAACAAATAGAGGGACCTACAGTTTATACTAAGCCGCCTCCGAACGGCTGATGATTTTTTTTATGACTTGAAATAAAGAGTTGTTGTCAGAAATACTCTCCGAGGGGTTGGCATTCGATGCCGAGGGGCGACTGCATTTAGAAAATTTAACTTAATTTTTTATTTAAATTAAATTCCTATAACTTTTTTGTATGTTAGTACGAAACCAGGATTTGAACACGAGCCTTCGGAACGATAGTACGATAATTCTAGCAACGCGGCTACCGCCAAAAATCATTGCATATATATCTTGAGAATCAACAAAGAACTTTTGATTGATTTGCATATATCGAAACCAATGGGGCGTACCAAAATATTGTTGCCTACCCTGCAGTGAAACCCAAGTCCGGTCACTAGAGAATTTTACATTTTCCACTAATTTCCATTAAATTGCAACACAGTTTTTATATTACTCAGAGACCGTTGTTGTTGTTATTATTGTTATTGTTGTAACTGACAAAATATTTGCCAAAAGGGCTTTTAGCGAATGTGGAGGAAGTGACAGTTCTTAGCCGGATAAAAATCTGGGTCGTTCCAGGATAAAGATCCACCTGTCGCATGAGCTATTGGATTTTTGTCGTCTCTTATTACAGGCAAGTCTTACTGCATGTAAATTATAGAACCTGTAACCTGTATGGGTCTAAGAGACTTTTACCGAGTGGCATTTTTCTCAGTTAGACTTTCGTGTTTTAAGATAACTTATATATTTTGTTTGAATTTCTATTCGACTTTTGTGTTCAAGTTGAAATATTTTTAATATTGTACGAAGAAATGTGCAGTGAACCCGAGACCGAGTGCTGAGGGTCGTGGTCTTACACTGAACAGCCACATATTGTTCAAATCAATATTAGCGCGCCATTCGTCTCTTCTTTTCGCTGTCTGGCGCCAGTTGGAAATACCAAAGGAAGCCAGGTCACTCTACACCTGATTTTTCCAACAGAGTGGAGGTCTTTCTTTGCTTCCACTGGCAGGTACTGCATCGAAAACTTTCAAAGCTGGAGTATTCGTGTCCATTCGTAGCACAAGACCTAGCCAGCGTAGCCGCTACCATAAATCACTCGCAAACTTTTCTCTCGAAGACTCCTAGAGCCGACTCATCAGATGTTGACATCGCCCACGCTCCTACGCTATATAGTAAGGCCGGTATGATGAGCGACTTGTAGAGAATCACCTTGTCTGAAACCTCGTTTGGTATCGAACGGCTCGGAGAGCTCCTTTCCAAACTTTACGGAGCTTTTAGTGCTGCTAAAGGTTAGTTTCCAAAATCGCATAAGTTTTGCGGGGATGCCAAATTCAGACATAATGGCGTAAAGGCAGCTCCTATTCGTGCTGTCGAAGGAGGCTTTGAAATCGACGAAAAGGCGTTGTATGTCGATCCTCTTTTCACGAGTCTTTTCCAAGATTTGGCGCTATTCACCAAGCGCTAGTTAATAACTTACATACCAGGTCGGAAGCCGCACTGATAAGGTCAAATCTTTTTGTTGACGGTGAACTTAAGTCTTTCACTCAATACGCTCGATACGTTCTTATAGCCGATATTAAGGAACTTACCCCACGGTAATTCACGCAGACTGTGGGGTCCCCTTTTTTAGGATTGGGAAGAGCACACCTAGGTTCCAATCGTCGAGCATGCTATCATTCGACCATATTTTGCCAAGAAGCCGATGTGTGCACCTGATCATTTCTTCACCGCCGTATTTAAATAGCTCGGTCGGTAACCCATCGGTCCTCGCTGTTTTGTTGTTTTTTAAGCGGGCGATTGTTATTAGGACTTCGTCATAGTCGGTTAATGGAACAACTTTTCCATTTTCATCCATTCAGCAGGCTGGAGAAGTGTTCTCACCGTAGATGCAGTAACAAATAAATTTTCGCTAAATATTTTAGCATCTTCGGGGCTTAAATATTAAAAAGCTGAACTTTTTCAAAATATATTGACATACATTTTTCAAGAACGATGGACAAGATGAGAACTAAAGGTGTTTCTTTACACTAAAGTAACCAGTTCAGATAAGCCTAATAAATAAAATCTTGAATTAAATAAGAACTGATCGCTTAAAGAAAAAAAAAATTACTTCGCTTTTTTAATTTACGTGAACATATTCGTATGTACATATGTAATCATTATTGGAGATATTAAAGGTATATGAAGTACTTAATTCAATTGTGGTGTCTACTACTCCAATTACTACTACTATTTTCATGGATGACCTTTTTGTACTTCATTGAAATTGATGCAATTCTTCGTTGACAATTTGTGGCTATTGCAATATATACGTTTGCATTTTTATGTTTTTATCTAAATATTTTCCTCTTCAAACAAAAATCTATTAAAATTACATGCCACAACTGTTGTACCAATAATGCAACAACATTCAAGTGCTAAAGTCAGCAAGATGCTTTTCTTTAAACATTTATAAAAATACAAAATAAATACGTTCACTTCTTCTGCGAAAGACTATTGCATTTATCTAAATGTTGTATGCAGATATGTATGTAGGTAGGTATGCATTGTTGTGTTGGCGCAAAGGTAAATAGTATTCAATCAAGCATTTCAAGTCACAAACATCCACAGCGTTGACGGTCAACTGTTACATTGTTGACTCCGGCTGTTGTGCTGTTTCTATGTGAAACCGTCAGCTAGCTGCGTTTTACAAAATTGTTGCATGCTCTTCATCGCTTGTCGTAACCATTGCATTTCGTGAGGTTTGCGTCTTTCACTATTTTGTGACATTTGGCTATGCAACACCGACCGACGCTCATTCACAGATTTCATATTTTTATGTTATATTAGATACTCGTATTATATATGTATGTATGTATGTATACTTTTGTACATATTTATCTATGCATGTACGTATGTATGTATTGTAATTACAAGTGTATACTTTTCATTGCGACATTTGTCTTTTTAAACCAAAAAAAGCGTTAGTTTTGTCCAAGCATTGTATGTCGTTTGTGTTTTTGTTTCTTTTTTTGTTATAGGTTTTTTTTTGGTATGCATTTATTTCTCTGTTCGTGATTTGTGTGATTTGTGCATTTAACACTTTTACCTTTTACTACATGCGCTTTTAGCATCATTTTCCAATCGCTTTGTACTTGAGTTAATATTTAGCTTTCTGTTATATACACACATACATTCACATGCACATACATGTTGACATGTTCACATACTAATTTATTTTCTATTTCTTCTACTTTAAACGTGACAAAATCACCAAACACTCTTTCGCCTTACAAGGCACACTCCATTAGGCTGGAGCTAATTTGAAGTTACACGGTCTTGTTGTGAAATCTTAAATGAAATTGCCTCAAGCAGATTTTCGAGGTGCCGGGGTGGGACCGCAGTTAAGAAACTTAATTTTTTAAAGTAATTCGTTTTAATATTGGATTTTGGTCTGGACCTATGAGACTCCGTGTGGTAGAAGGCACTCCTAACTCCAAGGTATAGTGATAAAGGCTATAGTGGCTGATTGCCTCGCCTAACATAGACCTATTAGTCTTTTATGATGCCACGTGGAGGCTCAATTTTATTGTAGGGAAAATAGTTAACGCGTTGGACGTTTTCTGCGAAGTTTAAAATTATCTTGATGCCCACTTTTGAAACTTCCTGTTGTCATCTGAATCTTGCAGCTCTTAGATGTCTAAGACGATTTCTAGGTAAGGCCGGACAGAAATAAAGGTGTCTGCCCCTTTACACTTCCTGCACTTGTTAACAATACTAATGGCCATTCTCTTCACTTGTGATGCTAATAGTTTGTGGTCTGTAATTAGGTCTACTGCGTTGCTTTTTTCTGTCATTGAACATGTACTTGTCGGTCTTGCA